TAAAGAATTACCTTCCATAAGATTCTTCACTTCCCGTTAATGAAAAAATTCGGATAACGAATTCCTTACGAATTTTTCCCAACATGTTTCGCCTGTTCACCAGCTGTAGTATTAGTCTTCCAATACAGTAATCGGTTCTAGGGCTTAAATACGTATCCATTTAAGTAAATATAAAGAAGGTTGTACTATTCAATAATTTTAAAAGTTTTATTTTAAAATTTTTAGTCATTTTAACAATTATTGAACATAATTGAAGTACAGGAAACTAGTTTTTAGCGCGCCAAACAGCCACTCAACACACCAAGCTTGGCGTCAGTTTGTGTATCTGTTCAGTGGAGGGAACATCTTGTTTGAGACTCTTCAACATAAACTCTTTTTTCTGTTTTTACAGTCAAATTATTGGTCATTTTGAAATATATTTTACATATTGATAATATATAGCGCAGTGCAGTGTTTATTTAAAGAAAATATTCTTTATTTACAGCAATAAAACTTAAAATTTCAGTGTTGAAATCGAATCCAGCATGGCTCCAAAGAAATCGAGAAAAGTTATTTCAATCCAGGTAAAACAGGAAATAATAAAGAAACATGAACAGAGCATTAGAACAAAGGTGCTTAGTAAAGACTATGGCATGTTGGCATCAACTGTGTCGACAATTCTTGCACAGAAAGACAAGTTCAAGTTCAAGGGAAAAACAAATGAAAGGTGATTCAGTTTCTACAGAATTTATTTGTGACAGGGCCAGGGAGATTTACGAACATTTAAAGGAAGATCAACCTGGTTCTTCTGGCACAGAGTTCGAAGATTTTCGGGCAAGCAAGGACTGGTTTGAAAAATTTAAGAAAATAAATGACATTTTCAGTGTTACTAGGCATGGTGATGCTGCCAGTGCAGATAAAGGAGCAGCAGCAAAGTTTGTAGTGGAGTTTAAGAAACTGGTGGAAGAAGAAAATTATCTTCCACAGCAAGTGTTCAATGTTGACGAAACTGGGCTGTTTTGGAAGAAAATGCCCAAAAGGACATTCACCACCAGAGATGAAGCCTCTTTACCTGGGCATAAACCCATGAAAGACCGTCTCACTCTTTTGCTTGGTGCCAATGCTTCAGGGGATTTCCGACTGAAGCCTATGCTTGTCTACCACTTTGAGAACCCCAGGGTGTTCAAGCAACAAAAAGTGGTAAGAGGACAGCTTGGAGTTTATTGAAAGTCCAACCGTAAGGCATGGGTGACAAGAAAGCTCTTTAATGAATGGGCTGTTGAGGTGTTTTGCCCTTCTGTGAAGAGCTACCTAACCACCAATAAACTCCCTTTAAAGGCTCTTCTCCTTGTGGATAATGCCCCTGGTCATGACCCTGAACTTGCCAGCACTTTCGAGGCTCAATTTGACTTTGTCAAAGTGTTATTTTTGCCCCCCAACACTACATCAATCATGCAGCCAATGGACCAGAATGTGATCAGCAACTTCAAGAAGTTGTACATGAAGAAAATGTTCAGGAGGTGTTATCAGGCAACTTCCACTGATCCTGAACTAACACTGGCACAGTTCTGGAAGACACAATTTAACATCCTGGAGGCTGTAAAATTGAATGTGTCCTCATGGTGAGAAGTCTCCATTTGATCCCTCAATTCTGCATGGAAAGCACTGTGGCCATCAGCAGTCCATGATTTTGAGGGATTTGAGAATGAAGCAGAGTTGGACAAGGAGATTGTGTCCATTGGTCAGTCATTAGGCCTTGAAGTGGAGGAAGTTGATGTGGAAGAGCTTGTGATGTCCCATGAGCAGGAACTTACTCCTGATGACTTGCAGCAACTGGATAAGATGTTAAGAGGCTGACAGTGGTGAGGAGGAAAGGGAAAGTGATGACTATATGTCCACTTCAGATATGAAAGATGTTGTTCACTACTGGGATAAGTTCAGGAAACTGGTTTCAAGGCACCCTGATGGGGAAACAACAGAACCTATTTTGTGTAATATTGAGGACAGAGTGGTCTCCTTCTAAAAAAATCAGTTAATGATGAGGAGAAATGCCCCACAAACAAAGATTGACAGTTTCTTCACTAAAAGGTATCGGGAAAAAGATGCTAGCCCTCAGCCTTCCACTTCAAGAAGGAGAGAGGATGTTCCTGATGGAGAATCTGTCAGTCCAGAGGTTCCTGACATTTTCATGGAAGGTGACTCACCTTCCAAGAAGCAGTAAAATGCTTCTCCTCCACCCCCACTTCCTTCTCTTCTCCCTTCTCCTCCTCCACCTGCCACTTCAAATTCACATCAGCATCATCATCCAGGAGCCTTCTACTTACACACCTCAAAGTAAGTGTACTTTACTGCATTTTTTTTTTTTTACTTTAGGTAATTTTTGGTGAGCTGGAACCAATTAACCGAAAACCCATTGAAACAATGGTTTCGGTAAACGAACAACCTTCTGGAACGAATTGTGTTCGTTAACCGAGGGACCACTGTAATACATTCCAAGACCATATCTGTTCTGAGTTATATGAAATTCTGAGTTATCAAATGCCGAGTAACGAGGGTTTACTGTAATATTAATTACACTTCTGCTATTTGCCGAGGTCCACATTAAACCTACCTGAGCGGTGCTGACAGTGGTTTGACGACTACTGCTCGAATGGACAAATGAGAATTATACTACGAATCCTCAAGGCTTGTCCAACCTTTTAGCAGTGGAGCATATTAGAAACTGGGGCACTAAAATGTTGATACAACCAATGCCAGAAGTTTAGATAAGAAGACTGAAATATTGAGTTTCTCCAATGATGTAGTCAAGACCAAGAATGACACCACTTAAAATTTTGGTGTTTATAAATCCCCTGAAGATTAGCCCCAGATAGTTTTGGGCATGGAAACCACATATAGTATTTAGAAAGACATAACATCCCTAGAAAAGGTGCACTGCAGAATAACTAGAATTATTTCTGAAGTAAAACATCTGTTATCCAAGTACTGTAGACCGAGGGTCTTAGGACTGAGGTTTCTTCACACAAGACTTGATAAGGGGAACCACAGAGACCTTCGAAATCTGGAAAGGCATGAAAGATGTAAACCCAGATCAGTTTTTCAAGATGTCACAGACCACCAACAAAAGAGAACAAATCTGTTGCTTCAAGCTTGCCAAGGTATCATGCAGGATGAATATGAAGATGTACATTTTCATGGAGAGGGTGGTAGACCTATGAAACAATCTAACAGCTAATTCCATGGAATTGAGACTGGTACTAGGCTTCAAAACAGCCCTTGGCAAAGATATAAAGAACAATGGGGAGATGCTATATAGGTCATTCCTCCTTTCAGTCATGGCCAGATTTAACGGGATGCCATTAAATTGGGTAAATTCTTCCTTGCCTATTAAGCTGAGTTAGGTGTCATGGATCCATAGGCTGTAATTGGAGGATTAAAGTATGAAATCCCACTTAAAAGTTGAGGAGACAAGTGAGATGAATGCTTGCTCTTCTCTTCCCTTGAATGAAGTCCTAAATTGAGAAGGAACTTCAGGCTGATGTAGCTTACCAAGTACATTATGGTCTGTTTGGGGAAGAGCTGTAGAGGTGTTGAATCTAACCAGACTATCCTCACTGACCCCCAAAGGCAGCCACATAATATGTAAAAAAAAAAAAAAAAAACTGATGAAAAGGTTGCTCTGTATTTTTACCTGCAGTAATGCATGAATGTCCCTACTGTCAAACAGTAATCACTGTATGGATAGTGCCATGCTATATCTTTCACTCAACAATGATATGTCTCACAAATTTTATGCTCATCACCTTAGCCATAAAATGGAATTAAATACTTTAGTTCTCCCATTCAGAGAATTGGTAGTGAAGAAGGAAGGAGGATGGTTGGAGTGATTAAGTCCCTACTGTGAAATGTAGGTGTAAAGTGAATCAATAAGATAGTAGAATGTATTTTCATTGGATTGGTGGAGAAGATAATTATTGGTGCAGATAAAGATAAGAGATGAATGAGTTAGTGAAAAGACTTGTGGTCTAAAATTATGTCATTGGACTTCACATCTCTCAGAAGAATGACATGTAATCATGCACAGAGTAGTTCAATTGAGTATGAAAGTGAAAGAATAAATAAAGACGAGCTTTTATGACACATTAGTTTAGTTAGCAAACTGAATCATCGTTGAGGGTTAAAGCAGTTCTATAAGAATGTGAGCTCATTAGTCATTCAACAAAATATTATATGCAAAGTTATAAGTAAATGTTCCATTCCACTCAGCTGGTAATGGAGCAGGGCTGATAAAGAATGATTTTCTCCCTAGTGTGTTGCCAATCACTGCGAGTAATAAGTACATATACAGTAGTAGTAGGAAAACCAATATTAGATAACAAATACTGTAACCTAATTACTCAAGAGTAAATAATTTTATACCTATACTTACATGCCTTTATATATATATATATATATATATATATATATATATATATATATATATATATATATATATATATATATATATATATATATATATATATATATATATTTATATATTTATATTGTACCTCTCTAGTCCAGTATAATTTGTGTCAGTGTGAGATATACTGTATTTTGACTACATTGGATTTCAAGCACCATATTGAAAATAATAAACACTGAGAATTTCATCCTTTGGCAACACACTATCCATGAGAATTTTCAGTAATATATTACTTGTTGTGCAGTGATGTTTGCTTTGTGCACTATAGTTGTAGACAACTCAGTGCAGCATTTCACTTGGTTACAGAATATTTCAATCTGTTTTGAGATATTCAGGATTAGTTTTCTTCCATAGTAGTGTTGTAGTACAGTATTGATATGGCTATGTGGATTACTGTTCTTTTATATTTCATTTCATTTGTATATGTATGATTTACCATATGTTGCATTTATTACAAATATTTTGTGAGCAATATTTTTATAGTTTATTATTTAAAGTGTAAAAAGTAGTGGAGCAAAGAAATCATGAGGTGAACATGTATTTTGTCTAATTACAGGCGGGGATAAGAAATACAGATAACGTGAGAGTGGTAAGCTAAACAATACAAGGGACTACCCTTGAAATTACTAAAGTTTGAAACTTCTTTTGCTAATACTTAAAATCACTCCCTATCCTTCACTATGGAGTGTACTACTCATTCTTATATGGCACATTTCTTTTTGTTTTGATTGTAAAGACATTATTAATTGCAATTTTATTACTGTACTAAATACTGTATGATGATGATATATATATATATATATATATATATATATATATATATATATATATATATATATATATATATATATATATATATATATATATATATATATATATATATATATATATATATATATATATATATATATATATATATATATATATATATATATATATATATATATATTTCATTAGCCTATAAAGCGCTCGGACTTCTACATATAATCAACAACCTCACCCCGCCAGGACTCGAACCCACAATCTTATGTGTGCGACCGGGGAACTTTACCTCTAGACCACTAGGACACTAAAAGCAGTCCTAGACTTTGTTAAATTTCACACAAAGCCTGTTCATCGAGCTTATGATATATAATACGGTATATAATAAATAATATATATAAAATAAAGAATATATATAACATATATATATAAAAAATATAATACTGTATGTATAAAATATATATATATATATATATATATATATATATATATATATATATATATATATATATATATATATATATATATATATATATATATATATATATATATATATATATATATATATACAGGTTGTACCTCTCTAGTCCGGCAACCTCGGGACCTGACCGGTGCCGGACCATGGAAATTGCAGGACCATGGAAATTCACCCTTTTCCTGGATAGATAGTGACTTGTGCTTATGCCTGGAAGCACTAGCACCACTTTCTCTGCGTCATGGTCTCTTTGAAGACATATTGAAGGGTTAAATGTCGATATGACTTCTCAAATTTAGCGAGTTTTTTTTAATTCTTAACGTATTTTTATTGGAGCACAATAAATAAATAAAATAAAAGGTACGACAGGAAACTTGAATTTAATGATTTGACAGCTCTTAGCGATGCAGGCAGCATTTTCATCAGTATAAACAAATTCATTTTCTCTTTATATAAAGGAATTCATTATTGTTACTGAATGTCTTTTTTGTGAATTAATGTTTATGTGTGCAAAATGAGCAATACAATTCATTAATAATACGTAGAATATTAAAACACACAAGGAAATGACACAGCATTGTATTCGTTGATTACAAAACCAGTGACTGACTGGTTCTACATGTAAAACTGAAGAAAATAAGACCTTGGTTGTAGCTGTAGTAAAATTAATATGGTTGTTTTAAGTAATGTTATTTAATGTAATAAATGGAACAATAGAAGAAGCTAACGATAATGGTAAAGAAAAAAGAGAGATCGCATATGTAAGTGTGCATGCGCACACGTGAAAACATATCATCATTACTTTACATAAGAATATGAAAGCAACACTTATTTACTGTTCATATATATTTTAATTAATGTTTCTGAATTTGTTTTTATTGAATTAATGTACGTGTGTGCAAAATTAACAATACAATTTATTAATAATACGTGGAATATTAGAGGAGACGAGACGGCTGCCGGCATTGCTTATGTTAAAGCTTACGAAACCAGTGACTGATTGGTTCTACATATAAAACTGAAGAAAATAAGACCCTGATTTTAGCTGTAGTAAAATTAATGTAAAAAAATTAATATGGTTGTTTGAAGTACCTGTAATGTTATTTAATGTTAATAAATGGAACAATATAAGTAGCTAACCATTAATGGTAAAAAAAGCGAGACTGCGCGTATGTAAGTGCGCACATGTGAAAACATATCATCATTACTCTACATAAGAATATGAAAGCAACACTTATTTACTGCTCATATATATTGAAGGGTTAAATGTTGTACTCTGTATAGAAAAGCAGAGAGAGAGAGAGAGATAGCAGCTGAACTGCCGGATGTAAACAAACCTTAATTTCCCGCGGCTTTTTTTTTTTCTTTTAAGGGGATTAGCCCACCGGGGAATAGGTCACTGACCCACATTAGGGCCTGAGGGGCAAAAATTTAATACTCCTGTAATAATAATAATAATTCAGATAGGACCAAAAAAACTAAAATGGTTCAGGACCAGAATGCCGGACTAGAAATTTACAACCTGTATATATATAAATGCATATATATACCAAATATATATATATATATATATATATATATATATATATATATATATATATATATATATATATATATATATATATATATATATATATATATATATATATATATATATATATACTCTGTACAGTTTATGTATATAACAGTTTATACACAAATTGATGATATGATAATTATGAAGAAAGTCCTCCTTCACTAATTTTGAGTTAATTTTGTGTGTGTGGTTCACTTGGCTTTTGATGTGTAGTAAATTTTGTTTATAGTTTGGGGAGATTCTAAAGCACATAAGCCTGTTTATGTAGCAGAAGCTTGAATTTTAGTATCTTTCCTAGTATTTGTCTCTTTAAATTGCATTAATTTGAATACAATATAGCAACAGCATTAGTTTGTGATTACTGTACTGTACATTCTCACTTTTTGTGGATGCCATAATCTCCAAGCTGCCATTATAGTGAAGGTCGCATTATGATTTTATCTTGCTTTAGCACTGAAACCCAAGAATTTACAATATATTTCTCACTTCCCAGTACAGTACTGTACTGAGGTTCTGAAATAATGCATACACATTTGTATTTTACAGTCATATTAATTATCCATGTTTACATGATTCACATAATTGCTCTCAGAAAGCTCTCTTAGCTTTTTATTAATATATATATATATATATATATATATATATATATATATATATATATATATATATATATATATATATATATATATATATATATATATATATATATATATATATTATTTTTTTTTCTAATAATTGTTTAAGTAAGCTTGTGTCATTATCCAGAGATGTTTATGCATGACTTATGGGTCTTACACTGATTGGTTCCAAAATTGTTACAGTTGCACCTTCATGAATCAAATGTTCACTATGTCTTTACCTGGATCAGGGCATCCTTCATTTTCTCCACAAAAGCTCATCTTTTTTCTCTCCATTCTTGGAAATGTGTCATTTTGAAGAGGTTGTACTTCTTTGACAGTATTGTACTGTATTAAACAAACTTTCTCTTTCTGATTTTGATTTTCATTAAGCATTGTTCCAAGTTTATTAACATTTAACATTATCCTTGATAGGAAATTAATAATTTTCTACTAATATTGATTATTTAGATTGCAGTATTTTAGAATACAAAAAGAATCACTTGCAGTTTATTATTTAATTCGGATAAAACATACCGTGTACCTTCTTCTTAATGTTATTTACTTAGGCTCATTTGTAGACTGTATTTATTTTTGTCATCACATTATAGTTCTATAGTACTGTACGTACTGTATTTATATTTGTTTGTCCCTTTCATCTATCCTGCTACTTGTAGCCATGTTTAGAATGTCCATATTTATTTTTCTTACCAAGCACTTCATTTCTTCTGCCTCTATATATCTTTTTTTTTACCTGTTCACTGTCAACATATCATTCTGCACTAGACTGTCTTTCCATTGTAGAAATATGTTGCAAGTATTGTTCATTTAGCTAATTCTGTTCACAGGACTGTTTGTACTTTTTCGTTACTTGTTTGCATATTCTGTGCACGCTGTTTTCCTGCTGATTGAGTTTAATTTATACTGGACACAATGTTATGCAGTCATTGTTTATGGGTTTGGTATTAACTGTTTGCAGTTATATGTTGTGCAGTAGTAGTTACAGTGTTGTTTGTATTGAATTTGTAAATGATATTTGATATTTACCTAATATAAGTATTTACCTCTTTGAACAGTCAGTATGGTACTGAATAGTTTTTTATGACCCACAGGTCAATTGCCAAGTGACCTGTGAGATTCCCATGCAATGGAACACCCTTTAGCAGAGTATACTTTGTTCCTGGGTTATCTGCATTGTAGAGACAGGCCCACTTCCTTTTGAATTAGTGTAAATTGCCAAAAAATAACTATTACTCATCCAGTCAAATCAGGAATAATGAAGCAATCTCCAACCTTAGCTTGATAGTTGCTATGAAAACCACAGAGCCATAAAGTATACCGAGATGAATCCTGCAGTCATGTTCCCTTGTCTTGAAATCCATAGCCACAAATGATTTTTGTACTTCAAACCTCACATTTTCCTTGCCTGCGCCATACTGTGTTGCGAGCACTCTGCTGCACTCATTGTGGATCTTTTCAAGGATAAGTGGCTCGCTGACATTTGAAGGAACCGCCTGGCTGGATGTGAATAACAATTATACAACAATCTACATTGATACAGTATGACAGGGCACCTGTTGCTAAAATGCATGCATAGCAGGCACTACCAGAGGATGTTCTAGTGGGGGAATCTCACAGGTAATTTGTCTTTTCCCTTTATCCGTAAAATGTGATTTTACACCACCCCTATATTTTGTTCTTCCCTTTAATTGTATAGGTTTTTGAGGTTGTAACTGTACAGTATTGTATTGTTTATCTTTGAGATGAGCTTCCATCATATTTACTTTTATACAAACAATTCAGGATTTTGTATAGACTTATGCCATCTGGATTTTGTTAATCTTACTCAAAATTCAAAGCTAAATTTGACTTCAAATTTCGATTTGTATTACTCTATTTTACAAAGGTGTTTTAAACAAATGTTAATATATTTGTTATGATTCTTATAAGTTTATTTATAGACTCAAGTTGGTCCAAGGAGATATGTATTTTACCCATCAAGTTTGTGGGCTAGAAACCTGACTTACCTCCTTCACTAATTGGTGATTATCTTCCGTCACAACTGTTGTCTTTGTAAAGAAGGACTAGAGGCAGCATTTGCAGCTAAAGGTTGAAAGATGACAAGTCTTGCTACTGCAGTAGACCAGCAAAACCTTCTCTTCCATTGTTCACCATTGGCCATATTGAATTTCCAGCAGACATCTTCCTGACAGCTTCAGAACTGTGTACTGTACTGCATTACCTTTATAAATATTAGTACTAGGGACACAACTCCTGCATTATTAGTACTTTAGTTTAATAAAAAGCTGTTGATTTTAGGCTACTTAAGGTTGCAAGAGTTGATTTACTTGTGCTAAAAATCCAGTAGCCAGTTCAATTGGCAGTCAGTTAGTGATAGAAACCTTACCCACTTTGTGTTAATTGGAACCCCCCAATCTCATAGTATAAGGGATTCAGCCTATCCCTAGGGTTATTTTTTTTTATTTTTTTTATTAACTAGAGGGGTTACCTGACTGCTTTTTTGGGGAGGGGGGGGTGAAAAAATCCAGTTTGATACTGAATGTAGATACCTTAGTAAGTATGGAATAGTATTGCAGGAAGCCCTTTTGCTGGTGTTGTTTAGAGAGCTGACTGGAGTTCTCTTTATGTGGTAACAGACTTGCACATAATTTTTGCTACTTTGAGGAATTTATATATTTTTTCTAACCTGTTTTTGCTGTTTCTGGTTGTTCAGAAATAGTTAGAATAGAGGGAGACCTTTCTTATGCCTATAGAATTTCATGATATGAGGTCTTAGACTTTTCTATTTGTAGATTCTTTTGTCACCCTTGGACATTAACCAAATACTTGAGGTTGCTGTTCAGTGTTTCATTTCCAGTAGATTGACAGCCAATGCTGGAAGGGAAGACACACTGGGCTACTGTGGTGCTAAGACTCACTAGTTCTTAATCCTTACTGTATTAGCAACTCACTTCTAAGCGCCCTTTCTAGCACGAGACCCTGCACCAGGTGGCTCTCATTTTTGCACATGAGGGATTATCCATTACACCTTATCCCCCAAGGCAACTGGGAACTGATCTGATGATTACATATTCCCATCCATTGCATTCACTGGTCTCAAAAGAGGGAGATTAGGTGCAAAGGCTGCCCTTTGGAGACAAAAGGTCTAATACAGCTAATGCCATTTTAGTCTGTATTCACCTGTTGCCAGCTGTAGACTGCTTTCTTGTCAAATTCCAGGACCAATCCACCATTGGCATTCAGTCTCCAACTCATCACTACAGAGCTAAGTCATCTCCAAGCTCTTCCCTATTACAGTACTGTTGAACTAAGTGTCTGCCCATTTCATGTGATCTGATTCTGAAATAACTTCCATTGTGCTTGATAGTCTCAAGAGACCTTTAGTATTAGATTGGAATGTTCAGAAATTCCTCTTATTTCAGTTACAGTACTGTATGAGAAATTTATTTTTGGGGGAAAGTTTATACTCATAATGATTTGTGATTCAGCCATTTGGTTCAGAGTTCAGACTACAGGATTTTCTACTGGTATGTATATACTTGTCATACTATTTTGGAAATCTTATAATGTCATAAGGCCTTTTTATTTGACTATGAGAGAATGTTAGACACCAATTCTAGAGGCAAAACTGAATTGACCAGGGTTCAAGGTGGTCTATATTTATCATGTGAGGTTGTGATGCATTCATAAGTTTGGAACTCCTGGGAACAGTTGTGCTTGTTTCCTCCACTCACCTGACTACAGGGTATTCTAGGGAATTTTCGTTCTCACACTTACGTGTAGAATTCTTTGTCACACCAACTGTTAATGAGTGACTAATGTTTAAATTCATCTCCTTCCCAAGTTTTATTCTTTTCATGTCCTTGTTCATCTATTTATATAAGTGCAGGGTTTTTTTTTTTAGGCTCTGACCTGCACCGGACTGGCTCTGATGTCCTGTTTATTAGTCCTAATTAGACTGATCTGTGATGTCCTCTGTTGTCCAGGGCAACTTTTTGGATGCCAGTGGATCAGTTTTCCAAAAGGTTCTAGGGTAGAATTTTACAGTCTGAAAAGAAAAGCGGGTCAGTATTTTTCTGTACCTAACCCTACCAGCTGCACAGTTAAGGGAACTCTTCAGTTGGGCACATGCCTGCCTAGTCTGGAACTTCAGTAATACCTCCTCCTCCCACATTTCTAGTTGATTTTATTTAATAAGGTTTGGCTGGTGGAGAGCATTTCTCTAGAAATGGTGGATTGTTTTAAACCCAATTTTCTTGCTGAGTCTGTAGATCTGATACCCAAATTCTGATTTACAAATTCTTAGACCTTTTAGAATCAGGGATGTGATGGGGGAGAGGTTAGTGATCTGCTTTGGAAGGTAAAGTGAGGTGGGCATACCCTTCTTTCTAAACATATACAGTACAGTACAGTGGAAAAACAGGATTAGTCCTCCATGTTTAAGGGGAATGGCAGTGGTTATAATGGAAGGCAGAATTACTAATCATTTAATTAGATGCTAACTATCAGTGTCAAAGGTAAGTCAAATTTCCAACCCCTAGACTTGGTCGATACTAAACATGAGTCATTCTCCTGACTTGTTTATAATATGGGATTTCTGGAATTAGTCCATATGTTATAATTGTTAGATTTTCATTTTGTGATAAAAATTATAATATTTGTCTTTCACCATCTTATTTTTATGATTTAAGCTCTTTAATTGTACTGTAATTTTATTAATAATTTGACAAAACTTTCAAAACTGCCATTGAAAGTAAGATAAAAACGAAAATAGTTCAGTGTATATTTAAGTAGTCAAACTGATACAGTATTGATATTATTAATCATCACCTTTGTCTCAGGCTGGTATTACTGACAAAGAGCTGCATCGCCAGGCACGCACTATTCTCGTGGAGATGGGACAGTTCTTCCAAGTGAGTTAAAAAATCTTATGGTGACTTTGAATTATCAAGTACTGTAATGTGTGTTTTAGCCTTCCATTTTTAGTTGAGTAATTTATTTGGTTGTGAATTAAAATTCTTGGTTTTTTCATTTAATTTTATATAGAACTTATGTTTTTTCATATTGGGATACAATAATACAGTACAGTGGTCCCTCGGTTAACGAACGCAATTCATTCCAGAAGGTCGTTCGTTAACCAAAAATTTTGTTAACCGAAACCATTGTTTCAATGGGATTTTGGGTAATTGGTTCCAGCTCACCGAAAATTACATACAAGGTAAAAAAAAAAATGCAGTAAACTACACTTACCTTGAGGTGTGTATGTTGAAGGCTCCTGGTTGATGATGATGATGATGATGGGAATTAGAAGTGGGGGTGGAGGAGAAGGAAGAAGAGAAGGAAGTGGGGGTGAAAGAGAAAGCACCCCATGCTTGATGCCGTCATTTCGCCCATAAAATTTTAAGTTCACTAGGTGTAATTCAAGATCATTTTCTTTATTTCAACACTGCACTGCACTATATATTGTCAATATGTTAGATAAATTTCAGAATGACCAATAATTGCACTGTAAAAATATAAAAATACTTTGTGTTCAAGAGACCCACAAACAAGATGTTTCCTCCACTGAACAGAGACACCAACTGAGGCCTTGGTGGGTGAGTGAAGTGGCTGATGGGTGCACCAAAAACTAGTTACCTGTACTGCAATTATGTTAAATAAGTGTTAAAATGACCTAAAATTTTAATATAAAACTTGGACAATTATTGATTAGTACAACCTTCTTGATATTTACTCAAATGGGAACGAATGTAAGCCCTAGAACCGATTTCTGTATTGGCGGACTAATCTTCCAGCTGGTGAGCAAGCCAAAGCATGTCGAAACATTTTCGTAAAAATTTCGTTAACCGAATTTTTGTTCGTTAATCGAGTTGAAGATTCTTATGGAAGGTAATTCGTTAACCGAGGGACCACTGTATCTTGAGTATCTTTATGCCTTCTAGGAAGTTTGTTTTGAATAATCTTTAACATTAGTTTTATGAGGAAGCACTTCCACCCTTCATAACTTGCCATTTCATACTCTAAACACTTCATATAACTTGCCATTTCATATTGTAAGCAAAGCCAAATTACATCGAAAGTCTCATACTGTCTTCTCACCCTCCTCATCCTTCAAAGATTTGTAGATGAGCTTTGCTTTTGTCAATATCAAAACAGATTTTAAAGGTGTGCCCCTTGTCCTGATTTTTTACCTGTATTGCTAGCATTTTCTCCATCCTCTCCATGCATAAACTTCTTGTATGATTTCAAAGCAGACACTTCAATTTTATCATCGCTATTCACGAATTTCAATTCAGTGAATGACTTCCAGTTATGAATACAGCTCTAATGTGATGATTTTCCTTTGTCATTTAGCTGCTCCATCATTATTATCACTTTACCTCTTTGCTGAATAAAATCATCTGGTGTTCAATTAATAAACTATAAAATTGGTGCCCCGTAGTAAAGAGGTTAATACCCTTTGCACAAACTTGCTAGTATAGATTTACTCAATATATATTTATAGTATAAGTTACTATCAGAAAGTTAAACACTTGAAAATAGCACAAAATAATAGCAATACCACAATAATAGCAATACCACTGCGACATTTGCAAACAAACATTCTATTACCATCAATACTGTATGCTCAAAACTAAAAAAATCCTTCTTACAATAATTTAGTGTACACAGTTATTATTTTTACCAAGCATCTCTCTCAATAAATTGTTTTCATTATTTCCTGTGTCATAAGCTTTACACCGATATACACAATGAGATTCAGTTACCGGTTATAGAGGAAATTTTTAAATTCCTTGATACTGTATATATTTTTTATTCTATTGTGTCCAGTAAGGTCCTTTCTTTTGCACTGGACTTTTCAGGCATCATCTGAGCTTTTATGATCTTTTGAGCCACTTCTAAATTCTCTAAGTTATATATGAATGTTATAATCAAGTCTGACTATTAGTTGTGAAAACTCTTACCAGGCTGTTTACCAGATATGGTGAACTTAAATTTTTGCTTCACACTTGCAGGCAAATGTGAAAAAGGAGAGAGTCCAGAGACAAGCAATGTGGTTTATGGGTGGCTGATTGGCTGTGCTGATTTAAACAAAGATGGATGCAGACATGATCTTTCTCAAGCTTCGATTAATATTTTATGTTTATCCCAGGCCTATTACTGTACTGTATTACAGAAATTTGGAAAATCTTAAATCTGCTTCTTTTCCATTCCCAAGCTTGCCAGATAATTGATATAGGTACTACTGTACCAGTAATGCCACTTTGTGAGTGGATGAATCATCACTGACATAATCCCATCACCCTCCCTTCTGAATTAGGTTATCTTAATGTAACTAAGATAGTTTTTGTATTTTTCCAGGTCCAGGATGATTATTTAGATTGTTTTGGTGATTCAAGTGTGACAGGCAAGATAGGAACAGACATTGGTGAAGGGAAATGCACATGGCTATCAGTGGTGGCTTTACAACGGGCGTCTCCTTCTCAACGTCGCCTCATGGAGGAACATTATGGCAGACCAGAGCAGGAGAGTGTGGACAAAGTAAAGGACCTATACATGGTAGGTACATAATGATTGACCATGAAAGCTAATATCCTTGTAAATAATGTTATTAGTAAATTTTACATGCTCCACTATATATCCCTCATGTATGTGGATGTACTATTTGTCAAAGAAAACCAGTGTCATAAGTGCCTTTGTATGTTACATCATTAGACAGGCAGGTGCTACTTGGTACCTGCATAAAGGCCCTGCACACATGTAGTAAAGAGTGATACTCTTGTATGCTGATTGTGTTCTTGATCTTGTGTCCATAATGGCATGTAAAAAGTTGTGAAGCCAAACAGCATGCCTGGTTCACTTGGCTAAGGATAAGTGCTTTGGTAGGTGGGAAAGGGGTGGAATGATGGTGTTAATGATAATGTCAGGTTATCATTAAAACCTAGATCTTCTGTGCTGAGCTCCTCAGAGTGGCTCTTCAAGACCTCAGCCATATTCCCCTCGTCAACCTCCTTGGAGATGCTGGTAATGTTGCTCTATACAGCTACAACATTGGTGAAGCCGCCAAAGTCATGCTCGCACTCAGGCTTCACTTTCCTCCACATGCTGTTTATGCAGCTCTGTGTGACCTCCTTCTACAAGTTGTTGCTGGTGTGTATGGCATGCTTGATGTTGTAGCTATTCCAGAATTCTTTGATAATCGACTTTCCTTCTCCATCTATCGCCTCAAACAGCTGCGTCATCAACTGCCTTAAGTAATAGGCTTTGAAGGTTGCGATGATGAGTGAGGTGGTGTCTTTCCACTCATTTATCGTAGGTGGGTGCGAAGGCGCATTGTGGATGATCAGGTGCTTGGAGAGGTAGCTAACCACATAACTCTGGACAACAGGTCACTGTTGTGACCCAGGCCTTCTTGATGGAGTGCCAGATGACTGGGAGGTGATCCTCAATAAACCCCTTAAGAGCTCTAGAGGTCTCCAAGTGGTACTCCAGCATCGGAGTCAACTTAAGGTTGCCCTCAGCATTGCCTCCAAGCAGCAACTTAAGGCAGTCCTAGGCTACCTTGAAGCCTGGTGCAGTCTTCTCCCTGATAAGGAAAGTCCTCAAAGGTGTCCTTTTCCAAAACAGGCCCATCTTGTCAAGAACCTGCTAACCTAACTTTAGCCTTTGGGAGTGCTGAGAAGGCATTAGCACTCACGACGTCAGCACTGGCCGCCTCACCAGTCAGATGAAGGTTGTGCAGATTGGTATGCCTCTTGAACTGCTGAAGCTACCCAGCACTTGCCTTGAAGGGGCTTCAGTGGCACTGCTCTCACTGCTTTCTGCCTTCAGCTTTGTCCAGATATTGCTGGCCTTGTGCCATGATCTCTCTGGAGAGAGGCAAGTGGCATCAAGTTTTGTCATGAATCCAGTCTTGGAGTAGCCTCCCCATCCTATCCATGACAGGCTCACACTTTTTTAATGATCTAGAAGCAGAGACTGGATCACGTTTTGCGCCGCGACCTTTGCTTCCGGTGCCTTCTTGTTGATGGTAGACACTGTAGACTAGATCAGGCTAAGTGCTCTGGCAATGGAGCACACTCCTTCACCTTTCTCATGCTACTTCACAATGTCAAGCTTCACCTTGAGAGACGCAGTTTTCCTGGGCGCCTTAGCCTTTCCAGACACAGGAGCCTCAACAGTGTGCTTCCAAGGCATTTTCAAAGTTACACTGCTCACTTCGTGGTCACAAAAACAGAGTGAAAGCATTTCTCTCACAAAAACAGAGTAAAAATGCTTCACAGTCACAAAAACAGAGTACAATCTGAACGCTAGTGATGTCCTCTCACTGTAAGAAAAAACACTGTTGACAACGTAATAACATTGATAGCGGCTGACGCTGCTCACGTTGTGTTCACAAAAACCATAGCAAAAAATCACTTCACAGTCACCAAAACAAAGTACAATCTGAATGTTAGTGATGTCCTCACTGCAGTATAATGGAAAAAATCCACCAATGATAAATAAGAACAACGATACTGAATGATAATCGTTGAGTTACACGATCACGGGCATACAAGAGATGTGTTCCATATACCACATGTCAGTGAGTTTGGCCTTATGCTAGCCATTATTAATGCAATTTTTTATAATATAAATAATTAAGTGATCTTGAAACATCACCATCGTTAAAGCGAAATATTGTAAATCTTGACATCGTAAATCAAGGTTTACCTTTACTGTATATATTTAAGAGCACTTTATTTGTTTTTTTAACTCTGTACTATGCTTATTTAGTTTTTAGCATTGTGATTTTATTTTTCTATGTTTCATAATTTGTATATTACACCTGGGACAACTTTTATCATGTGCTTTGTTATACTATTAAGAAGAAACCTTGCTAATGAAAACATCTTAATCAGGAATTAGGTCTGCCAGCAACTTACCGGGCATATGAAGACTCTACATCCTCCATGATACGTATCCATATCCAACAAATTTCCCGAGGTTTAAACCACAACGTCTTCTTCAAATTTCTTGACAAGATTCACAAAAGATCAAGTTAGAATGAAACGATGAAGTACTTCAGTCCAGATAATTTCTCTTGATAAACAAATTTTCCAGCACCCTCAGCAGTTGAGCCACCAAGGTGCTGCTATAAACGGAGAGGAATTTGTCACAGATTTCAGTGTAATAGTATAGCATTTGGTAGTAATTATTTATTTATACAGCTAGCATATATATTAATTAATCAAAATAATATAATTTATCTCTGATGCTTTAAAGTTTCTCATATACCCATTTGATATGGATGTTGACCTCAATTTTCTCTATTGAAATATATGTGGCTTTCCAAACCAGACATAAGTACCTGTATTGGCTATTGAAGGCATATCGACCATGATACTGTATTTACACTTCTCTTATTGTATGCTAGTACAGTAGAATGTCGATTTAAAGCGATTCAATTTAAAATTATCGATTTAAAGCGACACCCACAATTGGAGACAATGTTTTAATTTAAAGCGAATCTTTCCTATTTTGCGCAAGTCAATCTGGCGCATCATATTTAAAATTTAGCGCCTAATGTTTCTCTGGACACGCTACACTGTTCTAAGGGCAAAGCTGTACTGTACATGTACTCAAAATAATGTACTATGAGAACTAAAATTTTTGTCTAGTGCAAACTATACGTAGCATCTTTATATTAAAATTAATCACTATCTTATAAGAATTCCGGCAATGTAAATTATATTCTCCCCTATCACTTCTGTGACATTTTATAAGCAAAAAACATAAACTCAAGCTAAAGGACATAAATAAACAAATAAATACTTCACTAGACCTTCGGTGCCAACTGTCAAACATGTCACTGTCACTTCCCTCCCCTCCCCCCCCATCTTCCCAGCCAGGGTTTGGTGTTTTAGGCTTAAAGTTATTATCTTATGTAATGTCAGACTAAAGTTAGGAGAAAATAATTTGTGTTGCTGGAATTCTTGCAAGACAGTGAATAATTTGAATATAAAAGTCATATATTTTGCACAAGAGATAAATTTTTTTGCTCTTTGTAATAAAATTCTTAAATTAGAACTTAAATTTGTATGTCTAGTGCGAGCTATTGCATGTTTATATTCAAATTAATCACCATCTTATAAGAATTCCAGCAATGTTAATTATATTCTCCCATGTCAGTTCAGTGACATTTTATAAGAGAAAAACTTAGTCACTCTTAAGGACAGATAAATAAACAAGCACTAGACCTTGGCATCAACTGTCAAACATATCACCTCCCCACCTTCCCAGCCAGTAAACAGACCATTTTGCTTCCCTTTATTTTAGCTGTGTTGATTTATGAGTGTTTGTTTTAACATAATTCTACAAAAAACAATGTTTTGTTTATTCTAAGAGATGGGCTGAGGTGCATCTGGGTAGACTCTCAGTCTTTTTAGTAATTTGTGTTTCTCTCAAGTACCAAACTAAATTATTCCATTGAAACACTTCAATTTAGTCCGAATTTGGTTTAAAGCGACCTCTCTTGGAACCTATCTCGAGTTATGTCGATGTTCTACTGTATAGTTTACTTATACTGTACTGTATTGTTTTCCTATGTATTCCTGGAGTGAAATGAAGTGTTACATAACTATGATTTAATGTTAAGATTATATAATTAAGTTAGTTATTTACTCATTGTGTATTAATTGCCTTGTCCAGGGACATGCTTATGAGAGATACTGTATTATTGTTTACATTTACGAAAACAATTGTAAGGCTACAGGCAATCCAAAAAGTATCGAGATCTTATTTGTCCTAATGAATATCAAGCATCGGACGAAGATTAAACCAACTGGTTCATGAATGCATCTGAGGTTATTGCTTTTCTTCTACTGTATTTCATTGGACCCTGGGGTTTCGATACTTATTGGCTTAGCTGTACACTACACTACAGATATTTTGCATGTATGCGCAATAAAGGTTGTGAAATTTTGCTTTGTTTTCATTTCATATTAATGTGAATTTTTTCCTCAATTGTTTTTCTTCAATATTGTATATTTGTTGGCAATAGAGTAAAAAAAACTAAAACAATTTATATCCCCCAAATTCGAAATCATACATAATTTGTAATGTTTGGCTGTTACAAAATATAAATTACAAATTTCACATTTTGTAAAATTTTGAAATATGAGACATATTGAAATACTGTATTACGATATACTGTATTTATTAAATTTTTTGTAATATTTGGTAAAATTTTGGATTATCAAAAACATTTTCGAATATATATGATGCACATGTTGCCATGGACTGCAACTGCTAGTCGCTCGCCTCAGTGTAAACACGTACTATATATGTCACATGTGTCAGTCATGGTCAGTTGACATTGGTCAGTCGACATTGGTCAGTCTTGAAGTGTACATTGACGGTCTACCGCGCAAGCTTTTTCGCACTTTTTTCCCATCATTGCCCAGTGTTTGAGCCATTATATCTGATAGCCCTGGACCAAGCACCTAAATCTGGTACTGTACTGATAAACATGTGAATTTTGATTGGGGGAGATAACGTAAAAGTTCTGTTGTTTCTTTTTATTCCCCTCGGGAGGTGTCCCTCATATTTTGTAAAATCTTATAATTCATAAGGGCTGGAGGCTCTATTATTTCGAATAATGGGTTTTTTAATGTATTAGTTCTATATATGACAGGAAAATCTTCCCAAATACCCCTATACTTACTTTTTATAAGTAAAAAATTAATATACTGTAGTCTTAATTAATATTCTGTATTCATGATGAACTCTACTATATAAATTGCTTTAAGAATCTTAAGATACCTGTAATCCAAAATGACACCCATTTATTTGTCTTTTTGTAGCCATGTAGATTATTGACTTTTATTTAGTGTGTTGTTACTACAGGATTTACATGTACCTGTACCTAAATAGTTAGGCACATTAAATTTTAGTTCAGAGAGAAAAAGTATTTTTGGCCAAAAATCCTTTAAGGCTTTAGACTTACAATTTTTGTCATTTCGGCCAAAAAATGGATTTTGTTCAAAATTTCAGTATAGGTACTCCTGAATGTGCTGCTTAAGGATCTGTTAACCAAAATTAGATATCTTGATTATAACTTGTTCAAATGGCTTTTAGAAAATGTGCAAATGATTTTTAGAATATTTTAATTACTTTTGCACTGCTAATTACTCGCCACTCATGGGTTTTCGAGGTCATTTCTTGGTGCTTGTGTATTATACTGGATGTACTTAAATAGTTAGGCACATTAAATTTTAGTTCAGAGAGAAAAAGTATTTTTGGCCAAAAATCCTTTAAGGCTTTAGACTTACAATTTTTGTCATTTCGGCCAAAAAATGGATTTTGTTCAAAATTTCAGTATAGGTACTCCTGAATGTGCTGCTTAAGGATCTGTTAACCAAAATTTGATATCTTGATTATAACTTGTTCAAATGGTTTTTAGAAAATGTTCAAATGATTTTTAGAATATTTTAATTAATTTTGCAATGCTAATTACTCGCCACTTATGGGTTTTCGAGGTCATTTCTTGGTGCTTGTGTATTATTCTGGATGTACTTAAATAGTTAGGCACATTAAATTTTAGGTCAGAGAGAAAAAGTATTTGTGGCCAAAAATCTCTTAAGGCTTTAGACTTACAATTTTTGTCATTTTCGGCCAAAAATGGATTTTGTTCAAAATTTCAGTATAGGTACTCCTGAATGTGCTGCTTAAGGATCTGTTAACCAAAATTTGATATCTTGATTATAACTTGTTCAAATGGCTTTTAGAAAATGTTCAAATGATTTTTAGAATATTTTAATTACTTTTGCAATGCTAATTACTCGCCACTTATGGGTTTTCGAGGTCATTTCTTGGTGCTTGTGTATTATTCTGGATGTACTTATATAGTTAGGCACATTAAATTTTAGTTCAGAGAGAAAAAGTATTTTTGGCCAAAAATCCTTTAAGGCTTTAGACTTACAATTTTTGTCATTTCGTCCAAAAAATGGATTTTGTTCAAAATTTCAGTATAGGCACTCCTGAATGTGCTGCTTAAGGATCTGTTAACCAAAATTTGATATCTTGATTATAACTTGCTCAAATGGCTTTTAGAAAATGTGCAAATGATTTTTAGAATATTTTAATTACTTTTGCAATGCTAATTACTCGCCACTTATGGGTTTTCGAGGTCATTTCTTGGTGCTTGTGTATTATTCTGGATGTACTTAAATAGTTAGGCACATTAAATTTTAGTTCAGAGAGAAAAAGTGAGTGAGGAGGAGAAATGGCAGGTTATTCGGCAGGCAAAAAACTTAGCAAGGAGCGAGGCATTTCGGGATGTATTCATTCATCCAGACTGCACGGTAATGCAGAGGGAACAGCACAAGAAGCTCCTGCAGGACTTGAAGCAGAAGAGGGAGGAGTCAAGGAAGAACAGGGACAGGTGTACATGGGTTATACTTGGGGGGAGGGTAGTGGAAACAAGTGTGCCGACACAGGGCCAGGGGGCAGCAGTGCACCCTCCACCCGCTCTAACCCTCACCCGGGAGGCGGCACCAGCTCCGCCTACTGGACAGGAGGAGGCGGATTCCTATGGCGAACTTTTACCGCCTGTTTCAAAATGTTATGGGTGAAACGCCTAGTTACAATATGTCTCAAGTAACCTGCATTTGTAATTGGGGAGCGTCTAAGTGCCTCCAGGATTCGTCTGTCATCAGCTGGGATGGTCTTTCTGGGCCCACCACACTTAGTTGATCTCGAAGATTCCCTGATACTACTTCCCATCTCTTGCAGTGGCACCAAAGTCGGACTATGGGCTTTGCCAGCGATAAGAAAGATGGCTGTCCCATGCCAATATTTCTTCCCCTTAGACATAACTTTTCCTCTTGAGGGTTCATACTAGAGCTACTTATGGCCCGGGAACCTGGGAATAAGTGGGCCCAGATTCCACCTCCGATCTTGATAATAACTCGGTCGTTATGTTGGACATTATGTTGTAGCTAATTAGTAAGCTATCAAAAGTCTACTTGCCCGCTAAATGGTTCAAACCCATTTGTTGGCAAGTGCGTTTTTGATATTTTATTTTGATGAATGCCAGGCGACATTATTATTACTAGCACCAGACGATTTTATTTAGCTCAGGAAGGGCCTCTGCTCCCTAAAGAGATACTAATTCCTTTAAGGTTTATCTGTATTTCATATATCGTACAATGTATAACGAAAAAAAAAAAATAGGCACATAAGATGCTTATATAGTGGGTTACAAATAACATGACACGATTTATGTAGACCTGTTTGTTATTTATAACAATCACCAGTTTTACACGGATAGGAAAATCATAAACATTCACAGTACAGTAAAAATTAAACACAAACACTTCACATCTGGGGGAGCAGGTGATTTTATTCCAAGGAAACCTATCAGCTATGAGATCCCCAATAGATAAGCCATTTAATGAAGTTAAATGGGTGGGTGGGGTGGGGGCAGGGGGGCTAGCAATATGGGATGAAGACCCAATTGAACACATGCCTATGCTAAGCCTCCCCCATATATCCTTATACGTATCCATATTTCCATAATACATTATTCCTTTCACTGTTGCATTGCTTTGCATTTTTGTAATACAGTACATATCATGCTTGAATGAACCCCCACATATGATTCCTGAGGGTTTTGATACCCTGTACATTGTCTGATTTACCAAGGACATGTGTGAAGAAGCTGTCTGGTGAATAATAATCAAGAATTACAAAAAATTTTATCGTATACGTTTTAAAGCCATATCACCCATATAGGTATTTTTTCTTATAATATATATATATATATATATATATATATATATATATATATATATATATATATATATATATATATATAACCACACAGGAAAAGGGAAGCACTGTCATAATTGGCAAGCGAAAATTCATCTAGGAACCTTTGCCACCAATTACTGTATCTTCATCCTTATACAACTACTACACATTCATTCATAAGTTTACTCTAGTATTGTAACGGTGCCACATGTGAACTGAAGTCACCACAAGGGGTAAAGGAACTCATTGAGCCATATGTACATGGTGTATTTACTTTCAATGATTATATTATTTTGCAACCGTTGTATCCTGGAATTCGCACGGAGGCTGAATACACGCAACAAGGTCCAGCCGGTTCTGGCCATCATCATCAGATTCACGTTTTATGTCAACCAACTTTTTACCAGATTGATCGAGTTTTGTTTTCACTGTCTTAACACAATTTTCCTTGGTCATATCAACAACTTTGGTGAGTTTGTTATCAGTTTCTTGTTTTAAAGGTATGCATTCTAAATTAAAATTTTTTTCTTCCAATTGTTCCCTTAATCTAATTACTCTGTCTTCCTCCTTTACCTTGTGATTTTCTATTTTCTTACATTGATCAGTGGCTGTGTTATTTACCTGATCATGGTCACTGATTTTGTTCGCATCAGCAGCAATGTCCTCTTCTTTAACTTCTGTTACCGGCACTTTCTTTTGGTCTTCGTTCTCCTTCTTTGGGGTTATATCAGATTTTTTGTCATTTTCTGCATTGACTTTTCTTTCCCCATCAGTGGTGTTGACAACCTTAGCAACCTCTGTTTGCAGAGGTTTTTTACTTGCAATTGAATTGTCATTTTCTTTTATTTTAGAATTAACCTTTGGTGCTGGTGCCTTAACTTTGTGCTCAGCATTATTCCTGTGAAGCTTGTTAGATCTCTGCTTCCTTTCAGTTTCAGGATTTTCTTGTATGCATATAATATCTTGCTTTTGTTCAGAACTCCCAAAGGGTGGATCGGAAAGCATGACAACAGTTTCAGCTGGGCTGCCTCTGCCTCCACTTCCAGTGATGGAGGAAGAAGCTGTTGGAGAGGAAGCATCCCTAGTCTCCCTACGAAGTGTTGAGGGCGACCTGCTGAAGGACACGTTCTGGTCCTCGATTGCATGAGAGAGAAAACGTGTGACTCGCTCCTGGTAATCCATAGAAAGGTGGGATGGGCGCTCATCTAGCCCAGTTGACCACGGTGTTCCAAGACCACCACCGAGTGATTTGTTTCCGAGCAGTTCTGGGTGAGTCTGAAACGAATAAATAAATAGTGGTGAGTAAACTAACAGTCTAGAATTCTCTAGGTCTAGATAACTGGTTCATGATAAGGAGCAACTTCAGGAAAAAAATTACATTGAAGAAAATTTCTCACCCCTCGAATATCAAAATGGGACAGGAGGAATTGCAACATCCTACTTTTGTTTTCTCAATTTTTTGGTAAGAGTATATTGGATGCTTACTAGTGAACTTTACATATGAACTGTTAATAACAATATAAAACCCTAACCGACCTACTTAATCTAACTTAAAATAATTCACCTCTTATACAAGGACAGGTATGTTTGGATGGTTTGATTGGCAGGCTTATCTTATGTTAGTGTATATTTGTCCGGTCACGGATCCTTACTTCCGCTGTTTGTCCGTCTTAGTTTGGTTCATATTAGGAACGATAAAATTCGCATGTATTAGTATCTGGTACTTGGGAACAATCAACATTCTAGGCTCACTGAATGTAAACAAAGTCTACTGAATATTCAACAAATGAAAAATACCTGTGGCCATTGCGATTCCAATTTTATTGTTGATTCTTATGGATCTGGGTAGTTTACTTATATTTCTTTAACCTATCTTTCAGCAGTTGTGCGTACGTAATTTCATGGTAATATAGATCTTGGTTTTAGTTGTCAATAGTTACTCTCTTCCCGGCCGTAACCATAGTTCATGTACAGTATCTCTCGTGATAATTCATAAATTGATAAGAAAGCACCGCTTACCCACAAAACGTCTACAGCCACAGTTGCAATGTACTGTATGTACTCGAGTAAGTTCGCGTTTTCTAGGAAGCATCCATTTTATATATATATATATATATATATATATATATATATATATATATATATATATATATATATATATATATATATATATATATATATATATATATATATATATATATATATATATATATATATACAGTGGGGTATGCTATAACGAATCTAATTGGTTCTAGAACCTTGTTCGTTATAGCATTCGTTCGTTATAGGATTAATCCGTTCCAGGCCCCCAAATACAACCACTTAACACTGAAAAATATAATATAAAATTGTAAAAATTGTAAAAAAGTGCATAAATATGCATCTAAACCCCTGAAATAAAGAATATCATTAATACTTGTAATAAAAAAACAATAAATTAGTAAAAAAGAAAAAAAAAAATTTTTTTAATAATGTTCGTTGTAGGAGTTTCGTTCGTTATAGCATTCTCAATTTTATAGGTAAAACCGTTCATTATAGGAATATTCGTAGTAATTGTGTATATATATATATATATATACACACACACATAGTACTCGATTTACACGTCAATTGAACCCACGGGCACTCGGAAAGTGAAAACCGCGGAAAGTGAATAACAGAACATATGGGATTAATTCCAATAGAGACGGCTGGACCCCCAAACTCCACTCCTTTCCGACACAATACCTATGTTGTAGTAAAAATAACATCTTAATTTTATGATGGTATGCTCAACAATTAATATTTAAGAGAAATACAGTCCCCAGGTTAATGTCCATTCAAATAATGGACTCAACCCCCCTCTTCCCAGCTCACTGGCTCCTACCTCTATGAGAAATGTTTGGGTGAAAACACTAGATTTTAATGTTTAGTAATAAATAATACCTCAGACTAAAGTTAGGATAATATAATTGACATTTCTGGATTCCTTGCAGGTCAGGGAATATTTTGAATGTAAACTTCATATATTTTGCACAAAAGATAAAATATTTGCTTTGTGTAAACCAAATTATTACATTTGATCTAAAACTTGTATGTCTAATGCAAAATCTATGATGTTTATATTCAAAATGATCATCATATTGTAAGAATTCCAGCAATGTAAATTATATTCTGGCCGAGTAATTTGTATGAATTTTATGAGCTAAAACAAATATCTTCAGTTAATAAAAAAAATAAATAATCTTCATGACTATCTGTCAATCAAAGTACCCCACCTTGCCTCCTCTCCCTCCTCACACTCGCCAGCTGGGTCGGTTGGTCCCGTCCCAACCCCACCCCCCACCTTCCCTCCCTACCAGAGAAATGTTTGGGAGAAAACAGTATCTTTACATTTTTAGTAATAAATAATAACTCGGACTAAAGTTAGGATAATATAATTGACATTTCTGGATTCCTTGCAGGTCAGGGAATATTTTGAATGCAAACTTCATATATTTTGCACAAACGATAAAATATTTGCTTTGTGTAAACCAAATTATTACATTAGATCTAAAATTTGTATGTCTAATGCAAAATCCATGATGTTTATATTCAAAATGACCATCATATTGTAAGAATTCCAGCAATGTAAATTATAATCTGGCCGGGTAATTTGTATGAATTTTATGAGCTAAATAAAAAATTATACTTCACCCGCGTATATGAGTAGATGCACCATCAGAAAGTGAAAGTCCGGTTCTGGCGAGGTACCGTGTAAATGAGAAATCGCGGAAAGTGAAACCGCGTAAAGCTGGGTATATATATATATATATATATATATATATATATATATATATATATATATATATATATATATATATATATATATATATATATATATATATATATATATATATCCATCCATCCATCCGTCGGGACTTACGACCGCCGCAGTTGTGTCTTTTTTTTTCCCAAATGACGCTTGCATTTTCTATACCGAAACGTTTCCAATTAATGTAGTCTCCATGTATAATTAGAAAATTATGGGGGCCCCATGTGCATTCAGCGGACTACATTAAAGGTAAGTGCTCAGTCACACCGTATGCATTCCTCATTATTTATTACTTTTACTGTACTGTATCCATTCCTCAGTATTTATTATTTTTACTGTACAAGTACTGTATTTCATTGTAGATTTTTTATTTAGAAAAAAAATTGAATTTTTTTTTTTTTATCTGTCGGACTTACGACCATTCGGACTTACGACCTGGATTTGGGTCCCTAACCCCGTCGTAAGTCGGGGAGCACCTTATTCAATGCAAATCGCTCCCTGTAGCGATTGAAAACACAAACGGACTGCAAACACGTGAATGGAATCCTATCTTAACGCTAACCGTGTACATTTCAATGTGATCTATTTTTGGCGCTAACGCATTCGCTAATGCGTGAATGGAATCCTAGCTTAAGTAGGATCCTTGACAGGACAAATAAACAATTCGTTGTTTATTTACATTAATTTATTGATTGCTGTTGGGTTCCTTTTAAGGTATGAAACACTGTTCCCGACAAAGATTGATAAACTAATAATAGGAAAATGCTGCAAATCGTTGTTATTTGTTAGTATATTATTAATTTAAAGAAATTATAATATATTATACAAAAATGCTCAAAAGCTGCTGTCGGTTTTACACGTGTATGGAACGAAAGCCTTAATGTCTATTATGAAACTTTCGTCTTAAGAGCTCGCGTAAACAGCTGGGAAGAACGGCAGTGCAGAGGTGTGCTGCACGTTGAACGTAAGTGTTCAAGACGGGAAAAAAATGGAAAAACAGAAGTAGGAGAGTTGCAGTTCTTCCAACTTATTTTTTGATATTCGAGAGGTAAGAACCAAGTTTTCTTGTAAATTTCTAGACTATTACCATCATTATCTTAAGAAATAGTTAAGAGCTACAGGTAGAAGTAGTGGTGTATTCTGGTCCTGCATTAATAGGTATAAGTAAATGTGCAACATACCGGGGCTATCGGCGTAAAAAAAAAAAAAAAAAAAAAAAAAAATTAAACAAAACTATAAATTTGCAGCTGAACTTATTATGTGAAACAATAAAGACAACAGTCACCATCGATGAGAGAACTGTATGCGTCTACCAAACGAGTTACTCGAGTATGTGGTCTACCAAACTGGAGTTGTGTCTACCGGGATATTTACACTGGAGTATCTTAACCTAACCTAAGTTAGGTTAGGTTAAGATAGATTAAGTTAGGTTAATAGACCAAGTACAGCTCGATAGACCGCATACTATAGTAGCACCGAACTATACGTACAATCACTCACTTGAAGATGCGAAACACTATAATTACCACATAAAAACACATTACTCTTATGAAAAAAATATAGCACCACTCACCTGTAAAATCATGACCATGAGTCTATGACTCACCTGAAGCAGTTGGTAGAGGGCAGCAAGGGGCACCTGCTGGCCATGACGAGGCAAGGAGGCCACGCTGCGTAAGTCGTCAGAGTGGGAGTCTCGATTAGCAGCACTGAACTCTGGGGCGTGAACACCGCGCCACCCAATTTTTGCGGACCAGAGCGCCAGCACCAGCTCCAGGGTGAACCCCACCAGCTGGTTGGCGCTCACACTTAGTGTCAACCGATGTTCTTTGTCTAGGTCATATGGCTGAAACCTGTACAATGCAAATGAGTAAGAAATCTCTTGTTAGGTAAATATTTACTTTTCTAATATGTTACAATAAAAACAACCGTACGTAATTTGGTGAGGTAGTAATAATGCTAATTAGCTCTTATCCATGATGATAAACACGTAATTTATGTTACAGGGAGTTTTGGTGCTACTGTAGCGTGCGGTTTACAAGATATTTAAGTTGGTTAGGTTATGTCAGGTCAGGTTAAGTTAGGTTAGACTACAAGTAAACTCAAGTTATCTTTGTAGACCGCGTGCTATAGTAGCACCAATAAAAAAAACTTGTACTAATACAATTACCGAGTTTTTACGCGTCATCATTGTCACCTAGTTAAAAAAAACAAAAACATTCATTACTCATTACGATATCTTCAAATTAAATCGTCAACTTCTTAACAGCGACCAGTTTTGTTAAATAGACTTTGTGAACAAGGATCTGCCCGACCAAGCACCAACCAGTTACGCTAACCCTTATGGCCATCCCGGAAACTTTTTTCTCTCAACCTGTTGTGACGAATCGGTATCCACATCCTAGGTTGTATTGCACATTTAAACTTCTTAAGTTTTATATTGACCGAGCCAGTTAAGGCTTGAAATTGAACACAGTGTTTATCATGGGTGGGGATGACAGGAACCTTATGCCATTGAGCTATGCAAAGGTAGATATTACTTTTATCATCTTCACCACTGATCGGCTCTTTAGCCGCTCGGACGATTGGTCACGTCTCTGTCACGCACTGTTGGCAAGTACTGGGCATGCACTGGCTCCTGAGTGTATCTGAACCTGTTCCAGTACAGGTTGACAACCCTTTATCCGAAATTCCGAAAACCGAAAAGCTCTGAAAACCGAAAGTTTTTTGTGGAGCATTTTTTTTTCTTCAGGGATTAGCCCACCCAGGCATAGATCACTGACCCACATCAGGGCCTGGGGGGCGAAAATGTAATAGTAATACTAATTATTATAATAATAATAACTATAATAATAATAATTATTCATAGTAAATAAACATTTTAATTAAAAAATACGCCAAAATAAAATAATAATGATAACAATAATACTGTAGTAATAAAATAATAATAATGATAATAATAATAATAATAATAATAACAAAGAAATACAAGAATGAAAAAAAGATAAAAGTGAGAAACACGACCTAGACCTATGAATCATTATTATTACCTGTATTATTATTATTATTATTATTATTATTATTATTATTATTATTATTATTATATTTTCGCCCCCCAGGCCCCAATGTGGGTCAGTGACTTGTGCCCGGATGGGCTAAAAAAAAAAAAAAAAACTAACCATTCTGAAAACTGAAAATTCCGAAATGCTCTTGGTCCCAAGGATTTCGGATAAGGGATTGTCAACCTGTACTTGTCAAGTCTGGTCTTAAAAAAGCTCTCTCGGTGCCGTCACAACACACTTTGGCAGATCGTTCCAAGAATTAACAACTCTCAATTCTTAGTGAGTGGAGTTTAATGTTTATGTTAACTGGGCCAGTTAAGGCTTGAAATTGAACAATGTTTATTAGGGGTGGAGAGACAGGAACCTTTTGACACTGAGCTACGCAAAGGTAGATTTTGTATGTAAATTCTCAGTAGGACGAATGGGTATTTCATTCATAATCGAGAATTCAGTTGTTTTAGAACTGGTTGATATATATATATATATATATATATATATATATATATATATATATATATATATATAATAAATCTTGTGATGCTACAGTGGACTATTATATCAATAGCCTCGTAACATCTCTTGTGGATAGTGAACACATTCTGGATAGTTGCCAGTGAGGAGAAAGTTGTGGCTTATGGTTTCTTTCGTCAGCTCATCCAGCACAATATTCTGTGCCCTAGCATATCGGAATAAAACACTGAAATAATTAGAAACAAGTGTTACTTAGCAGCCATCAGTAAAATGAAACATTTAATTTTTTGTCTGATGAGCGATATTCGTTTAAGTGGCTATGTAGTGCATTTCCCTTAAATTAAAATCGTGTTCAAAGAATAGGCCGAACTATACATAAAGTAGGTAGTACAGTAGTGTAATCTATCTGTATAACAGCTTTTCGACTGTCGTGAATATCACCGGGATGTGATAAATTAGTTCAAAAGATCATCGCACTTGTAAACCCAGGTAAACATGTAGTTTTCTGAAGGGTGAATGACTGAACAGTTATTTGGATATCACAAAATGCATTGCTGTCTCGATTTTGGAGGAACGAAAATCAGTAGTATACTGTACAGTACAGTTTCAATGAGAGATAGCCCCACCCTCGTGGCAGGATACCTATCGAAGTGTTCCAACAATATCGATAAGCGCACCCGTTAATTTATTATTGAGTACACAAAGGCTAATGTATAAGAAGGGAACCCATACCTCTACTCTAGGGGTAATCTGACCTGTTATCAGTGGCGGCTCGTGCATAGGGCTGCAGAGCTGCAGTCCCCCCAGACACTCACTGCCAGGCGTATGATTCCTTTAGAGAGACAACTGAATAATACACTACCAACAAATATATCATTTTATATGTTATTTAATTATTTTCAATACGTTGCTAAGTGAATTTTCATTAAAATCAGACCAAAATTTAAGTTACTTTCATAGTTGCTGTCAATGCTGTACGATTCATGTCTGTTGTTAATTGGCGCCGCCGCCGCCGCACTTGAAGCAGCTCAGTCTCGTACAACGTGTGGACGGTGTGGTTAAATCGTGCTTTCTTTAATTACCCTTTGACGATGGAAAATCGAGTGAAGTATTTGCAAAACATCAACTTTTCCCAGCTGACATTAAATGAAAAGACTGAAATCAAAGCAAGAGGAAGACCTACACCAGTTTTATCCATTCAACAGAACAGTACAAGCAGGAACAAAGAATATACACGCCAGTTTAACATGAGTGTTTATCAGAAATGACAGACTGTCTGCTTTAGCAGTGATATCCATTGAAAATAAAATGATAACAGAAATAAAGGATTTTAATGAAATAGTAATAAACAATTTTGCTACATCGAAGAGCAGACACGCCGACTTTATTTTCAATTAATACTGGTCCATCACCACCAACACTACTACCATGCCCTGGGAATTCGTGGACATCAACTACAACTCATACCTGAGGTAGGTCAAATTTGTGTATCCTACTGTTGTGTGAGGCTTGCAGTCCCTCCATTTTATTTTTCACGAGCCGCCACTGCCTGTTATATTTATTTATCTAATTCTAAATAATTTAAGAGCTGAACTTTCCTTTCTTTCACATGGAGTAGCATTGACTTTGTCATAAATAAACTTCTTATTGATGTCGGACGGTCTAGACCAGTGGTTCTCAACCTGGGGGCCATGGCCCCCAAGGGAGCCACGGCGAGCTGTTATAAATTGTAGTTTTCCAAATAATGTTGGGAATCTGAATTTAACAAAACTTGTATTACTTATTTTGACTTGGCAGAAGAGAATTTTTTTTGTCATTTTGTTTAATTGTAACGACAATACAATTTTAATATTTACATACTCTGGTGTTATTTTTTTTTTTTTTTTACGTATTATTTAAGATTTCACAGGTCCAGTCCCTGTCTGTGTGACAGGCGCTGGACCGAGCTGCTGAACTGACTTGTTCAGTACGTGTCCGTGTGTCATCCCTTTGCAAGTGGTGATAGGACCGAATGGGGGGGGGGTTGGGAGAAAAATGAAGGAGGCCACGAGGATGTTGAAAATTCCTCAAGGGGGAATGGAGTGAAAAAGGTGAGAACCACTGGTCAAGACACTCTTGAGCAGTGTTTCCCAACTTTTTCAACACTGGGTCACAGTTCCCAGCACTTCCTAGATTATTTGGTAGTATTTCAAGTTTGTCATCTGAGAAATGACACTATTATGGGTATACAAGTATATTACAGTTATAATTACAGTCACACTACGCTCACAGTCAGTATAGCGAATGAAGCACATCAACTGAACCCTGTTTGTAAGATCCGTGGATTCGTCAAATTGCAATCCATAGCAGGGACTTTTATTGATCTTTTCTGCTTGCTGTACAAGCAGGTTTTCAGCAATCATAAGCGTCCGTCGTTCAATTGTTGTGGCTGAAGGGGGACCTCATTCAGCTTCGTAGCAAGACTGTCACCAAGCACTTCTTCCGAAAGGAAGTTTATTGCTGGTACGATGATTTCTTCACCTTCTGTGAAAGGTTTCTTTTTGGTAGCGAGCAGGTACGTTGAAAGATGCAGTGAAGAGATTGGTATCTGACGTCGCCTTGTAGTGCTCTTCAAACCTTTGCGAAGACTGACCCTTCTTGTGGAACAAGTTTTCAATATACTGTACAGTAAGTCTGCAGCTTACTTTGAAGATTAGAATTTCTCTCCAGGTGACGGCGAAGCTTGCTTGGCACCAAGCATTATTTTGGCATCATTTGGGGGCATAGCAGGCAGGATGCTGTTGGGTGCTCCTCTTTTTTCCTTGTCAGTCAGATGAAATCCATACTTGACGTAAGCTGCACTCCATTTCCTCTTCGCTGATGTAAATTTAGCTTTTTTCTTCGGCGAGTCTGCAGTGCTGTCAATCGCATGAAAACGTTTTAAGTGGGTCACAGCTGCTCCTGGGTCACAGCGCGTGGTCGCAGTAGTTCAGCAGGTCACAGGGTTGGGGAACACTGGTAGAGCATTACATCTCAATCTAGTCCAACGATCGATGTGATCACATACGAAACGAATTAGCTGACCGTTGAACTTGACCCCATTAAAATATTAAAAATAATTAGTTATAAACATTTCACTTTACAGTATTATTAAAACACATAACGTGACTAAATTACACAAATTCGTTCAATGGAATGGATAATATAAACCAAAAATTATCGAACGTAAAGTGCCCTTTTGTACTAACACCGGACAAGGGTAATTATAACAAAGAACAGACCAATTGCTGTTAGGTGGTGTAACATTAAATATATTAATATAAACAAAATATCTTACATCACACACACTTCATAAGAGAAATAGTAAATTTGCATTGTCACACCGTTCTCTGTTAGAAAGTAAAAAATAAATTTTTCTAGTGTATTTGTGTGTTTAGGCCGAATATGACCTTCATTTCTGGCGGAAATTAGCCGGATTTTTTTTATCAATTTTTTTTCGTTGGACGTTTTCCGAAAAAAAAATCATGGCAAAATACACCAATAAACACCGGAAAAAAAACCCTAACCTAACTGACTCTCACCATATGATGGAATCACCAATTTCTTACCTTAACGGCCTGGTTTTTCTTCGTCGTTGGATTCTGAGGTTCTTACACAACGCCACATACTGTATGTTGGTCTTTGCGATATTTAAATTCAGTCTTGCTCTTAGTATACTTTACTGAGGTTGGAAGAACACCATGCGATCGAAAAAATGCTATAGTTTCTTCGTTTTTTTCCCCCCCAAACTCGCAATCAACTCCATATAATTTAAGTGACACCCATCGCAGACTTCCATGGTCGGAACTGAACTTGAATTTCGAAATATGAGAGACCCAAAATAAAACTCAAATATGATTGGGCCAAATATACCGCAAATTAAACCCAAAATCATTTTAATTGGTTGCAAAACAAAAACGCTTTTGAGTGGCCGCGTGACGTGTACGGGAACGCATGTGCGTGATGATTTATGAAGGAGACACGCAGTGTTGGAGGTGAGGCAGGCGATAATAGAGGAAGATTAATGGAAGAAAATAGAGAAAATTTTGGATATGCTATCTCCGTTATTACACATTTCCGCCGGTAATGTAATAGATGAAAATTTTCTTATAATTAGACGTCTTATTCGAATATGATAATAGATTAGTGGTAGGAATGAACGGTGTGTAAACGCAATAATACCAGAGAAATAATCAGCTATGTATGAACAACTGCCACTGTGGGTTAGATAGGTACAGTATACAGGTAATAGCTGCGTGGTCTGCTGACTGACGGAGATAGCTCACTGAAGCAGACCCAAGGGTAGACAGGGGCAGTTGATATGTGGGAATTATTCATTCAGATTATTTCTGAATGCCTTGTTAATATAGAAACTTAGATTGTTTAAACAAGGGAGTATGTTGAGTTTCCTTATGAACTGAGGTAGAATAGGGGAGGGTTTTTTTTTTATTTATTTATTGGGCACTCCCCTACAATCCTTGTGTAAGGTGAAGCGCAGAAGCGTTTACAGCGTCCAACAGGGAAGCATGCTAAGTTCATGCTTGCCTTATGTCTCATGCGTTAAGGGCGTAGAAGCCTGAAGAGTCAAGGGCGTAGAAGCCTGAAGAGTCAAGGGCGTAGAAGCCTGAAGAGACAATTGTTTATATCATCAAGTTATTGGAAGCTCCAACAACTTTCCCTGAATACGAATTCGCAACTTTCGAATAGGGGAGTAATAATTTGAAAAATTTTCAATTGTAATTGAAAAACTTTCCTTGGGAAGATAATCTATAAAAAGCCGTTATGTACTTAATCTTCAAATCAAGAGGGTTATATTTAGGACACTTACGATGTAGGCTCTAGTGATAAAATTTTAATACCATTAATATCAAGTAGAATAATTAAGTAATTTATAAGTTATCCAACACTAGTGAAACTGGCATGAAAATAGAGCATATCCAAAAGAACAAGCTTTCAAATTTATATCTCCCACCCCCCCCCCGGCGTGACATTAAAATGAACAAAGCCCTGATTGGGTTGGTAAGATTACCAGATTCTCATTTTCAAAATACTAGACATGGTACCATTTTTTAGATAAAAAAAGTTGATCGTTATTTTAAGAATAGATAATAACATTTAAATGAAACTTAAATATTATAAATAGACATTCTTATTTTTTTTCAAGTTATATTTTTGGTACTGGGCTAACTTTCGCAGATTCTCGACCAGAAGAATTTTGTCAACAAAGGTACTTTTTAACGAAGAAACAGTATTGTTTACAGTAAATATACATGTTACCCAAACAAAGTATACCCTTATATCTCTTATCGAAATGTTTATTTAAAGTATCAAGCACAGTTACAACAGTAGCCATTCAATTTCTATATAAAATTTTGCTGGTCATCTGTGGCCCACTGTAAGGCTAGTTTCACACATAGCTGACACGACACGACGAGACAAAAACACCAACTGTCATGTCTGGCTGCACTTTTTCGGGGCCAGTAAAATTTGATATTCCAAAGTGTGAACTTGTGAAGATGGCTAAGTGTGATGCGGAGAAGTTGATCTCACTCGTGCAAGAGAGGAGTGCAATTTATGACTTCACTGAAGATTACAGCAATCGAGGAATTGTGGATAAGCTTTGAGAGGAAATTTTAAAATGATCTGAATATCACCGGTAAGTAATATGTTTTATTAGCTATATACAGTAGCAAGGTGCCGTATATAAGCACACTCGCTAACAATAGTCCTGTCGCCTCACCTGCCACTTCATGAACCTAGAGATTCAGAGACTTGTGAAACCCGAAACAGGTCTCGGAATCTCAGGGTTCATGAAGGGGCAGGTGAGGCGACAGGACTTTTGCTGGCGAATGTATACATTTGCCGTGGGGCAACTGCCCCTTCTTAGCTGGACTTTTCGACGACTACTGATTGACCATGATCTGTGGCATTGCGTCGCACCAGCGTGAATTCAACCGTCAGGCACGACGTTTTGTCTTGTCGTGGCCAGACTGTCGTGTCGTGACAGCTCCGTGTGAAACAAGCTTTAAGTCAAATACTCTGGGCTTTGTTTCATGCTCAGTACACCTCTAATATTCAAACTATACATTGTACAAAGCTCACCGCTGCTGTTACTAACTATCAGAGATAAATAAAATAACACATTGTTTTGTAAAGTGAGACAAGAATTTTGAAGGAAAATTGAACAAAAGTTTTTAATTTTCAAAGTTATACTGCTCTTGTATGAGGCGTTTGAATGAAACTGGAGCGGTTACAGTGGCAAGCCTAGATTTCTCTTTTCTTCAGATCAATGTATCAGGGCCACTCAAATACGGGACAATTATGCGTCCCGACACCTTTCCGGGATAATCCCTTATATAACGGACGTCCATAACCTTACGCGTTTGTATTTTCTTACTTACCAATTTCTGCAAACTTTAATTTTTTTATGAACCATCTCCAAATGAAGGTGCTACAAAATATGCAAATTATGTTAGAGTTGGAAGAAAAATTGCTTTATTGTGAAAACTACATTGGAAGCTCTTTTCAGTTGGGCACAAAAAGTAAATGCTTTATGAAATCCTAAAATTTATTCAATCTTTTGGGATTAAATTGAGCTACTATCCTATCCTATCAGCCCTCCGAACTGAATAAAATCGTTGGCGCTAAACAAATAAGATATTTAAAATGGTGTCCCCGCAGTGAGGGGGTTAAGAGATTATTCGCCGTGCACCGTTAACACTATCCCTGCGAAAAACAAAGTACATATTTTTAGCGAGTACTAACCATGGGTTGTTCTCTGCCTGGTCTAGGAGGTGAAAATAGTGTTGCTTGCGGTTAACAATGGCGTAGATGGTGAGGATGATGGCCAGAACGTTGATAACGACGCTCACCACTGACGACACCAGGAAAGTCTTGATGGTGAAGTTCTTGTACCATAGGCGGTGGGCAACCAGGCCAGACATCCCACAGAAGGTGGTAGACAGTCCAGCCCACACGCCTGCTCCTGACCAACATGTCTCTGGCTCGACCCAAGATCCTGCCGGACACAAACCAAGGTAAGAGAGGACAAGAATGGACGAGTTGACGGTTCTGGGCAAACACAAGAAATACGCTCTGCCACGTTCGTAGAGTGATACGGTATATATAATCTGTAATAAAAGTTTAAAGTTCAGCTATAATAGTATAGATAATTTTATTTCTCTGGAAACAGGACCGTTCAAGTAAATTTTAAGGGAGTTTTTTTTATGGTCAAGTCATGGACATTTCGTAAGTGAAGAACTGTGCTGTGAAGAGCAGCTTCAAACATTGGTTGGATGGATATATGAGCGATAGGGGTTGGGTGTAAATGTGACTGCCCAGTATGGCCCACTGCAGTGTCCTCCATTCTTATGGTCTTTTGGACATAAAAAACTCCCATGTTCACACCAGCTCAGCTGTCATGTACTCTTACCTGGTCGACATTCTCTTTTTTTTCAGTGCATTTACAGAGCATATCGGTACTAGATGGAGATACGAGTAAATTTAGAAGTGATGACATTGTCTGGACTTCGTTTTGATAATGCCTGATGCTAGCTAAACATGACAACATAGTGTTGTTATTGTTTTGATGATTCACTAATGAACCACTGGGATATATCATCATTTATATCAATAAATGGGTGAAATTTTACTATAACTACCTTAAGTGTTTTGATGTTTAGATTCGAAATAGGATATATTGGGTAAATTTTAAGTTTTGGTCATCCCTGTACCTAGACATGCAGACTGTTTTTTCTGATGGTTTTCGCTGTGTTATGAACGATTTTTGACCTTCATTTCTATCGGAAATCACTAGTTTTGAGTTACTACCCCTCCCCCCACCTTACCGATGTATGTTAAGCTAACCTTGTAACTCATCACACCCTGTATTTTCTTATGCGATATACAGACAAATTTGCGGCAGAAATCCTGTAGAGATAATGTGTCTTATTGTTTAAAGTGCTTAATCCCATAGTTAGAATCTTAAGGTTCCCCAAATGACCAAAACCTAAATAACACCAATATTGTTTGGAATGTTTATACTATTAAATTTGTTGTATGGGCAGCTAATATCCATTGAATTAGTTAATGTACTTAGTAATATTTATATATTCAAAATAAATTACTGTGTTGCACAATAAAGCACAATTAATTATCCAATAATATTTATTTACTGAGCCAATCAGCCGAGAAGATTGGACAACTACAGCTGGCTGCCTCCTGCTGGGAAGTTCGCCCCAACCAGTGACGTCACAACCATTCACAGCTTTTCGCAGTCACGTGACTTTTTAGCAACTTTAACTCTTATTTTTGACACTTTTTGGCCCAATTTATTAAAAAAAATATCATTACCATAGTGAAATTAAGCTTTTTCTTTTCCCATTGACCTGTCATTTTACGAACCACATGAAGGCCTCGGGGGCGAAAATATAATAATAATAATAATAATAATTAATTAATAAAAATAGATAAAAATTATAAAACAATAAAAATAATAATAATAACCATAAATAAATACAAAAACGAAAATAAATAAATCAAGAGTGAAAAACAGTATACATATGTTGTGTTGTCAATAGTAAGAGAAACAATTGAAACCCTGCAGAAAGTCAGATTAGCAACCTGGGACTTGGTCACAGTTTTTGTGATGCCATATGGCAGCAGGGTCCACCATTAGACTACACATTATGCTTCCAATATGTTCCCAGGCAGAAGTACCTCCCTGTTTGATAGCTGCGATACATGATCATTTTCGTGGCCACTTGATATTATTAACGTTGCAGTTCTAGGTTTTGACAACTAATATGGTTACTGAAAAATAGGTAACGTTAACCACAGACAATAGGCAAAATTCCTTTATTTGTCTTATATAACACGAATCTGAGTCCTTGAGATGTATTGCCTGATCAACTTCCAGCTGGATTGATACGCAGAAGCCTTAATTGCAAAGCTGACATACATCACTACTCTATCAGCTGGCGCTGTCAGCATCTCCATCAGGATACATGCTCATGCTACGATTACTGTACATCGCTTTATATTACTCATATTTATGGTTGATAATATTTGCAACTCACGTTCGACTGACAACACAACCCTGTAGTTAGCGCCGGCTTCCCTTTGTCAAAGCAGAAATTAATTATAAAGAAAAAAATCGGAGTCAGGATCAACGCCCACTAAGACGAGTTCCGGAGATGACAAGGCTCTGTAAAACAAGCCTAAATTCACCAGGAATTTGTTCCAGCAGAGTAAAGACGATGAGTGTTCGTCCATGCTCGTGGGACGCGGCCGTGTTTCAGATCATTCACACCATCACCTTGAAGTAGTTGGTGAATATTTTTTTTAGCAATGATGGTAAGAATGATCATGACCACAAGAACATTAAACATGTACTGTATGTATCGGTCATTGATTATATTTTTTTCCTCGAAATGCCGAATTTATCTATACATATGAATCATTGGATATGATCCTACTGGGCAAATTAACACATCGGATATACTGTACTGTAAACAGTGACAATGCGCGTGATCAACTTGAAGCCTTATACACCATAGTAAAGCTAATGACCATTGACAAAACACATACCCAGCAGTTGTCTAAAAATTCAAGCCTTGAAATATTTGCAGATGCAGCACGTACACCGCAACCTCGATTCTCCTTCGAAAAGGTTGGTGAGTTAGGGGCAACTGAAGAAACACCGACGTTTTCTCCACACTATCCAACATTCTCCCGATCTAATTTTACGGTGCTAGTCTTCAGCTACTAACGGGATTTTCTAAAATACTTGACAATGAGGAACTCTGTAATCATCTCAGATTGATGTGCACTTCAGCTTCAGAGCGAGAGACTTAACTCTTCTTCATAGTTGTGTGAGACGATCAGTCCGGCACATTCCCACCCATTAGTTAACAGGCGCAGCCAACATTGAGGAGAAGCGGAGAAAAATTTGATAATATTCATGCACGTTTTAGCGCTCACGTCTGTAAGCCGTTAATCTCTATAACGGTGAGCGCTGCTCCCAAAGCTTAGCGTTATAACCCAATAATTTCTTGATACACCAATGTTAAGTGTGAATTATTGAGTAGAGTCTGTAATTTGCAAAGTTTGTGAAACTGTAGGTCACTGGGGGAGTTTGTGCTTCATAACATGGTGATCTAAAACTCATGGGAGAATGGGGTATTTTTAATATTTTTGCCTGTTCTAATGATTCTTCCAGTATATACGAACTCTAACAACTTACTACATAATATTAGGAAGAAACTCGTTAAAACATACTCCAGCGTCATAGATATTGGGTGGTATTGGGATAAAATATAGATGTGCAGACAGTAAAGCTTATAATTATTAGTTCGTGAAACTAAACTGAAATAAATTACACTACGTACGTCACATTAAATGCATAAAAGATCGATCAAGTTTAGTCCAAGTTACTAGACAGAGGAAAAAAAAAAGGAGCTGTGATGGACACTTAAGGTGTTTATTGTAAGGCGTTTTAAGATGCACGGAATAGCTAACGCGTTAGCTTTCCCGGACTGCCATTAAAAAATACGTCATTGTACCGTGTCGTGGGAATAACTGTTACTTTTTACTTCTATCCTCTTTACCACTGATCGGCCCGTTAGCTGCTTGGGCGATCGGTCACGTCTCTGTTACGCACTGTTGGCAAGTACTGGGCATGCACCGGCTCCTGAATGTACCTGAACCTGCTCCAGTGTTGGTCAAGTCTTGTCTTGAAAGAGCTCACACTCGGTGCCGTCACAACACTTTCTGGTAAATTGTTCCAAGAGTTCACAACTCTCACTCCGAAAAAGTTTGCCCTCACAGTTTTCTGGACTGCGGCTTCTTCAATCTTGAGCTGTGACCCCTTGTGGGGCGAGCGTCCGCCAGCTCCAAGTAAGGACACTCGACTGAGTAGTGCCCCTTGAGATGCTTATACACCTCAATTAGGTCACCCCTTGCCCGTCTGTAGTATAAGCTAGGCAAGTTCAGGCGCTCCAATCTCTCAGGGTAGATGCGGTGTCGAAGTGCAGGCACCAGTCTGGTGGCCCCCCTTTGAACATTTTCAACCAACTGACAGTCCCTAGCATATCTCGGGGACCAGACGGGGTGACAGTACCCCAGATGAGGAAGCACTTCACTCTTGAAGATCGTTACGTGGTACGGACCGTCTAGATATCTGAACGACCTTCTTATAAGACCCAATAATTTATTTGTCTAATTTACCTTCTTCTCGCAATGGCCCGAGAACTTCAGCTCATTGTCAAAATACACACCTTGTTTCTTCATTCCGTTGGGACATATAATACCCCTCCTTACCGTTGGTACGCCCCAGGTGCATCCTCTTACATTTCGTGACATTGAATCTCAGCAGCCATTTCTTAGACCATTCCTAGTGCCCACAGAGGTCCTTCTGTTATTTGGACACAATACGGAAATAAATAGTAAAGAAAATATATAGAAAATGTTGGAAAGAAAGAAAAAAAAAGGAAAAAAAGGCCAATCAGTCAACAATAAATAAGAATAAAAAAAAATCGGACCCCCTGTAAAGGTAATTTCTTGCGGACTCTGAAACCACCTATCCAAAGACCACCCGTCTCTCGTGGCTAGGTGTTCGCGTATTTATACACGAAATACGACGAATTTCAGGTTCGTTTAAGTCTTAATTTTTGCACTTACAGAACTGTAATCAACTTGCTCACCCTTATTTAAAGTATCTTATGAGTAATGATATTAAGGTTTCAATCATATATGATTAATTATAAATATTGTTACACCAAAGTCACCAACGGCTAATGAAATAGGACAACACCCACTTATAAAAGGGCGGAGCCAAAACAGGTTTGTACTAGGCGCGATCATTTTCAATTCTTTCACGCCGAACCCTTTGTTTTGAGTCCTATCCAATATACTACCGTATATAGAATTGTTTTTATTATTACATCACATATTTTTATTGCCTTACATGCCCCCAACTCTTCAATATTAATCAAAATATTCTCAATAAGCGGCCATGATCTGCGTTTACCCACTTGAGAAACTCACTGATTGGTTGTTAGCTATTCGGGCGTTGCTGCCCTTTGCAAACGCTAACGCCTGATCGAGGCGTTAACTCTTCCCTCTGAAGGTGTCAGCGCACAACTCAGCAGCAGCGTCTGTGCAGACAGAATAGCTAACGCGTTAGCTATTCCGTTAGCTATTCCGTGCATCTAAAACACCTTACCAGGGCCGAATTCAGGAGTGGGCAAAGTGGGCAGCTGCCCAGGGGCCTCCACAATCTGGGGGTCTCCACATATTACAATATTTTATTTATTTGTTTATTCATTTGGATTATTTTTATTTTCATTATTTAAAATTCATGTTTGTCTATTCCATCACGTAAAACTATGTTCAGCAAAAAGCGTGATAGAAATTAGGCTAGCTACTCCTTGAAATTCATGAATACCTGGTTTTCCTATGCCGTACATTTTTAATGAATGCTATTGTTTGTGTTGCTAATAATATATTTAGACTCCCACAAACATATATTGATTAAAAATGAACTACATGGAATAACGAAATTGAGATTAAAAAAACAAATAAAATATTTTTTTCATTATCACTTCCATTACAAATGCCATCAGAGCGCTGTGTTTGTTGACAGTCGGTCGGAGGGGGTTGGGTCGTGTAGTACCTGCACATCGGTTGTCATGTGTCTGTCGATTAAATGAGGGGGGGCCTCCACAAAGAGGCTGCCCATGGACCTCCACAGGTCTAAATCCGGCACTGCACCTTACAATAAACGCCTTTAGTGAGAAGTCTAGTGAGTTACGTTACTTGTTTTCCACACTCGTGTCTTATAATGGGTTTACTGACGACAGATTTACTGATTATATACTGAATGTTAGTGAGACAGATATTTATTGATGAACAAAGGAGAAATCTTAAATGGTGAAGGTTTGCAATGTGAAAAGAGAGACACTGGACTAAAGTGAGGTACAGTGGTAAAGTTTTGGTTAAGAGGCAGTGGAAATTCTGCACACTTGGCGCTGATCTACACTTGTTTGTTTTTTTCTGCGTGTGTGCGCGCGCGCGTGCGTTACTTGAGTTTTTCTGCGTATACGGAAGACGCAGATTGGTAGTGGTTGCACTGCAGTGGTGTATTGGTAATTACAGTCCTGTAACATCTGATTCGTGTATCTGTGACTTGGGTCTCTTATTTGTGATAGAAAAATTTTCAGAGTCGAAACTTATTATAAACACTTGATGTAGTTTTCAAGAATTCTCTGAAAGTTCTCTGTTTTGTCTTGTTGCACAGTTAAACGACTGTAACATCAAAGTATGAAGCCGAACTTAACCTTGTCCATGGCTATCTTAGCCTGGCATTGCTAAGTTTGTTTCTTTTACCGTTGTCTATCATAAAAAAGTGTGCTAGTCCCTTGTGATAGTATCAGGTTTAGAATAATCCAGTTTAAGCAGTGTTGAAAATGGTGAAGTGTGTGTGTGTGTGTGTGTGTGTGTGTGTGTGTGTGTGCACAGGGTGGTGTAATGCGTCTAGTGTGGCAGCATTATGTCAGTATTAAGGTGCAGGCATTGCTTGCTCCCTCTTGCTTTCAGCTACCGCCGCTGGCTAGCCCTCCTGTCGAACAGGGAAGTAACTTGCACATGTCTTCCCCTGCCAGTACACAGCCTCTTCACCATCAAGACTCCTGCTGTGCCTCCTCATGGCAACACACGGTAACTGGGTGCCTCGTGAGCCCAGGCTAGACCAGCAGGGGATCTCGGAGTAGCAGTGGGCCCCAGAGGGAAGGCGCATATAGCTCCTCTAGTATGTGGACACGTCCTGACGCCTACCAACCCCCCGCTGCCTTGCGGATTAACCTTGGTTAAATCCCGAACGAAAAATCTGTGGTGGAACCCCGCATCAGGCAGACATGCTTACAGAGCTCCAACAAGACCCCAACGGCAGTATAGGCGGAAGAGGTGACCACCATGGGAACCCAACGACTACACCGGCGGATGAAGGCAATGCATGATGGACAGGCTACTCAGGCGAAACCCAACAAATTGGGCCATCGACAGTCCATTGCAACTCTCCCTCTCCCCAGTCGTTGCAACACTTGCACCACTGGATCTGGAAAAGGGAGAACCAAGATGTGTGGTTGCAGCCTGCGTCCCTGCCTCTCCACATAAATCAACTCACGTGCAGCCATAATCCAGCACATCATACCTCTCATCATCATCAAATCCCCTATACCCCCAAAAGTCCTATGGCGACAGACGAGTGGCGACGGGGACAGGCAGAGATGACTGCCAGGAGTCTAGTCACAACTCTGCACATGGATGGCAAAGATAAGATGGTCGTTTATGCACTGGGATCTAGGCAGCAGTGCAATCCAGTCCTGTCTGTGCGACAGAGCAGCCATTTCGAAGGAGCCACTCTGCCCACCCCACTATGAGAACAAATAATATACTAACCACGCCATAGTCGCTCAATGCAAAACATATTGAGGTGCGCATGGAGGAGAACCAGTGAAGGAATTTGGCAGTTATCAAACAGGGAGGTACTACCGCCTGGGAAAATATTGGAAGCATAAGTCAGGTTGTTGAACTGACTTTCTCTCTCATTTACACACAATTGCAGGGTTTCAATTGTTTCTCTTACTTTGATAACAGAGCATACATGTATCTTTTCTCACTACTGATCCTTTTTTATGGTCCTTTATTATTATTATTATTATTATTATTATTATTATTATTATTATTTTTATTATTATATTTTTATTTAATATTAAAAAATATATACTTTTGTATTAATTATTATTCACCAATATTATTATTATTATTATTATTATTATTTATTATTATTATTACACACACATACACAATGGTGACATTAATATCATCCTCACAGTAATAATCAATTAAGTGGTGGTACTCACCGAGGACTCCCAGGAGGAAGAGGATGGCCCCAAGGACGAGGTGGGTATATCCAAGGCCACGCACCAGCGAAGCCGAGTACTTGACCTCGGAGGGCAAGAGAGAGTCCGGGGGTGCCGGGAGGGCGAGAGGGGGCTTGGCGCCGCTAGACACCTGGATCACGAACACCTGGTTGTGCTGCATCCTGTCCGGGAGGGGGGGGTGAAGGAGAAGTAGGAGGGAAAGGGAGCGGAAGAAGGATTAGGTAAAAAAAACGGAAGACGAGGTAAAAGCCGGAGAAAAGAGGACTAAATTGAGAATGAAAGATAACAAAATTTAGGGATTTTATATGACGAAGTAATGAAGTAAGACGAGAATACCACTCGTGAATGGAAAGTAATGGTGTAGTCCGATTAGATCGTTAAAGCATTACTCACTTATTTTATATCATGAACATTTGTATCGGAAAGTGAGGAATGAACGGAGTTGGAGAAGAGGTCAAGCAGGATGTAAGAGAACAGGAAGAAAGGAGAGCGAAGATAGAGACAGCAGGAAGCAGCAGAGGACACCGTGAATAGTTGTAACGGATGCGTGAAGGTCTTGAGGAGAGATGAGTGAGCGGCCTCGAAGCTGAACTCTGCGAAAGGCTGAGGAGTGGAAGGGAGAGTCCTGGCAGTTGATGGTAAGAAGTGATCAAGGTGCGAGTCAATGTAAGAGTTGTTTAAGGCACATGGTGAAGCCAGGGTTTGTTGGATGCGGGTAGGCGAGTAGCAGGACCAGTGCACAGCGGTAGTGACAAGTAAATGAAAGCACGAAGGGTAAATGTAAGTGAAGATGGACGAGTGGGTAAGTAGTTTTACTAAAGGGAAAGTAAATGGAATTGATAAGATCAGTGAAAGGTGAAGGGGTGATGATAGTAGTAAGTAGATGAGACAGGAATAAATAAACAAATGATGGAATACGTAGAATAATTCAAGGACAAATAGATACGCGAAGGAAGAAAGGATGAGGGGGAGGGCAAGTAAAGGGAGGATGTGTGTTGTCACAGTTGGTGGAGCGACGCTCCCTTAGGACGCCACACTGCTTGGCTTGAGTGGCAGTTCTTGCTCGGTCACATGGTCTCTGTACGTTTCCTGTTTCGTGTCTTTTTCAGGCTTTTAGCTCAATATAGAAGGCGCTCATGTATCTCGTCTTATCATCCATCACAGGAAAAAACAGTTATAAGCATTTCCATAATCTGTAAGAGCGTTCGAAATCATTTAGTATTTTGTTTGTCATATTGAATATGTGGGTCTCTAAATGGCAAATAGTTTAAATCTATCGAGTCCTCTAGTAATGTAACAGGATATACTGTATACGAAAAAAAAAAAAACTTTGGAATAGAAATAATATTACCCTGTAAGAAAATGGCTACAAACGTTCTATAGGTAATACAGATTGTAAACAAAGTACATCACTACATAAATACAATACATTTTTTTTAAACAAATGTGATAAAACCAGTCTAGAAATTTGAGCCTGATAGTGATTGGTGGCATGAGTGAGGCAGCAGGGCCGACCCCAGGCCAGGGACTACACCTAGCCAACGCCGTCATACCGTTACCACCCCGAATGCCTACCACTTGTTTTCTCATAGTTTCTCTTTCAAGTCCATTGAGAAGGTAATTGTCTATAAAAGGTGTTCTGAAAGTTGATGTACTTAAGAAATAGTTAAGCAATCCCTCCTCTACCCCCCCCCCTTCTTCACAAAAATAGTCAACACTCGCAGAAAGGAAGGAATTTCACAGTAGCATTGATTTGTTGATCTAGATCAACATTACATTTTAGTAATGGCACGCTTCCTGTCAGTCGCACTTAATCACGAGTATGTTGTGTCAGGTGTTTTTTTTAAGTCACACCAATGCATATTCCACGTCAGTCACACACTTCACGTGATTGTCATACATACACTCCACGTCAATCACACACACCCTATAACAATCATGCACTTCACGTCAGTCACACATACGGCAGGGACACACCTCACGTCAGTCACACATACGTCAGGCACACACTTCACGTCAGTCACACTCACATCACGCCAGGCACACGTTCTATAAAAGTCACACACACACAATGTTTACCGCACCTGCGCGATTTGTATTATATTTTTCACCTGGCGTTTTTTCCCATAACATTCCCGTCAGTATACACTTTACATCCTCATTGTTCAACGTATTTGTGAGTAACGTGATCACGAACCACCTTGGAAGTCACACAATGGTTCGTCTTTATCTCGTAGTTCAAATAATTTTACGCCGGAAACACTTGAACAAAAATCGGATAGTCACTAACAATGTTTGCTGCCTTGTAAAACGCTACTAGACTGCCGGGTATTTGAAATAGTGCATGCTAGCAGTTGCCAGGAGTTACCCGGGCCACGATGCACCTTGAAATATCTTGCCCAAAGTTACAGGTAATCTACTTCCTTAAAACGATGTAACTTAGATAATTAAGCGTCACAATATTTTTTTAACTAAAATGTAACGTGGTGTTATAGTACCGTGGGGGTTTGTTTGTGAGCATTCTCATTTGTTTGCAGGGATTTAGAAAACGAGAAGATTATTGCTGGAATTGTGGCAACACCCATAATGTTGGAACTTCCGGCGTGATGGTGGACGGACACCGACGACGGGTAAGCAGGTGAGGGTGGACCCAGCAGCTTGACTCCCGACCGTGGCTCAAGGTCACGCGGGTGAAGAGGCATTGAGTGGGCATCGATAAAGGCAGAAGACATCTTGGTTGGTTGGTTGGTATTTTATTGGTGATTTACTCGAAAAAACAAACAAACAAATTTCCAACTTTTTCCGTTAAGATTGTTGAGTGGGGAGGGGGTATCTAAAAACGAGTGATTTCCGGCAGAAATGAATATCAAATTCGTTCGAAACTCATCAAATACCATAGGAAAAACATATTTCTAATATTAAAAGAAAGACCGGTGCCAGATGTAAACTGATCATGGCGACACTTGTGACTGAGGAAATCTACGAGCATTGAAAAATTTATATCTCGGTTATCCTTAATTTCCGACTGATATATCATAGAAGAAAAAGTCTTAGAATTGTTTACACATTACGAAATGCATATTGATAACAGTGAGAGAAAGACCGGTGCATGACTAAAATTTCACCGTATGTTTTTATGACCTATTGACTGTTAAGCTTGGCCTGCTTACCGAGACTGTGTGGCCCAGTCATATCATCTTGGAGTAAACAGTCAACAGTTGAGAGATGCAGTGTTCTTTTGTTGTAGGTCATCCCACCCAGAACACACCTGGGTATTGCTGGATCTCATCTATCCGATAAGTGAGATAACGAAAAAAAAATCGTTTTGTTTCCGTATCGAATAGTTAGATGTTCTGTATCTTCTAAGACTAAAAACGTCGTCCTTAGCGAATCGTTTTGTTCTAAGAAAGCAATACATATAAATGTTAGTATATAGACATATTCTAGAACTTATTAAGGATTTTGGTGAGAAGCGTAGAGTTAGTCTGCTAAATCTCATTTTCTTTGTCACTAATGTGCAGGGCCGGATTCAGGAGTGGGCAAAGTGGGCAGCTGCCCAAGGGCCTCCGCAATCTGGGGGCCTCCACATATTACAATATTTTATTTATTTGTTTATTCACTTGGATTATTTTTATTTTCATTCTTTAAAATTCCTGTTTATCTAGTCCATCACGTAAAACTATGTTCAGCAAGAAGCGTGATAGAAATTAGGCTAGCTACTCCTTGAAATTCATGAATACCTGGTTTTCCTATGAACCGTATATTTTTAATGAATGCTATTGTTTGTGTTGCTAATAATATATTTAGACTCCCACAAACATATATTGATTAAAAATGAACTACATGGAATAACGAAATTGAGATTAAAAACACAAATGAAATATTTTTTTTTCATTATCACTTCCATTACGAATGCCATCAGGGCGCTGTGTTCTAATTTCCTCAATATAACTGCATATGGCTTCAAAATTCCCCAAAGAAGTGTTCAAATTTCAAAATTTTCCCGGGGGGCTTACAGCGCTCCCTGGAACTCCCAGATGTTTAGGAACTCCCAGATGTTTAGGCTCGCTTCACTCGCCACCCCACCCTCTTGGGTAGTTATAATGAGGGGGGCCTCCACAAAGAGGCTGCCCATGGGCCTCCACAGGTCTAAATCCAGCACTGCTAATATGACATTTTTATATCCAATTCCGTTAACTAAACACACTTCCATCTTTCAGACGTTGATCTCATTGATTGGCTAATCATCATTTCTCTCCGTGAAGTCATATCCGCTGTTAGGGCTCACGTACCTTATTATCTATTTGACTCCATTACCTCGTCAGTGAACTTCATCATCGCCAACTTTCTCGGAATCGTTTATTTGCTTATTAATTGTACCAAGACGAAAATTCTAAACAGTAATCGGAGTGTGCGATTTCTCGTTTTCTATTCTTTGTATCGCTTCGCTCAAGGTGTGAATGAGACTACTGACCCCTTGCTTCCCGCACGACTTACGCTCGTTTGTGGGATTGGCAGGTAACTTTGGAGGTACAGATTTTATTAAATAAAATCGCCACACAAGTTTATAATAATTCGGCATGTATGTTATAAGGGCAATACAGGTATACACTATACGTAAACAAAAAGTCAATTTGGCCAAAGATGACCAACAAACCCATCATTTTGACCATGATTTTGTGGTGACGTGTATCATTTTCCAATCTCGCTGGGTGTTAGTTCATAAAATTCCAGCGTTTGAGACATCAATGATTTCACAATATTAGTAGCCAAATTTGTATTCCAGTATTTTTTAGTGTATATAGTACAGTAGATTAAGTGTAGAATATCCTCCTTTTATATGTGTTCATCTTTTTATGCTGGCAGTACACTGCGTACTTATGGAGTTGGCACGTGCGCATGTGGTTAGGGCAGCATCGAAGTGTCTTGTATGTGGTGTTACAAGACGTAGGCCATGGTTGTGTTCCCCGTTCCTCGCTGGTGATTGAGGCTGTGCGAGTCTCTCGTGGTAGCGGTATAAAGGGCTGGTTGGTGGCCGCGACGCTCTCATTTCTGTCACCCGGGTGTTGTATCCATTGTATCTTCAGGAAATGTATGGAAGTGTATATTTCCCTCTCGCGTGAACAAATCCAAACATTACACAATTAGCGGGCATTATGTGACAGAGGACACCAGTTTACACAGGAGTGGCTGCAGCCAACTGAGGGGGCGGTCTCTCGACCTCTACCCAGTGACGTCATGCGCGAACTGGGTCGCATTTTGGGTCAGGTGTGGGATGACCTCTTCTATAGACCTCACTCATCTTGAATGTTAAACCTGAACTTTCAAACTTACAGTCCAGTATAAGTTTTTCATTAGATGTCTGATATAAAGAAAACATTGAAGAGGAAAGCAAAAATCTAGATGGCTCTTAACAAGACGTACCCAATCACATATCGTAACTTGTAAACGCAATATAGGGAGCGGTGTTGTGGGGTAGTTTTGTGTTGCAGTGGTCAGGGTGGGGACCAGGCCACCCATACTTATCCAAAATACTCTGAGTGTTACAATGTTTACTGTTTGTGGTTCACTCCTAAAATTTTGGAGAACACAATATATACTAAACAGAGATTTTAAAAAATATTCTAGTTAACTGATGTTTTTCATCATCATAGCTACTTTATGGTGGTCCAACAAGGTACAGTTGTTGATTTTTCGATTTCACCCCGCTATCTTTAGTGGCCGGAGATGAACGGGAAAAAATCAGTTTTTGCTCGGAAAAAGTCACACTTTATATAAAAACCATTGACAAGTAAAATGATAAAACTAAACGCATTTTAGGTTATTATTTTAGGTTGGATTGGGTTAGGTTACCGAAAGTTGCGATTTTTCGAAATGTGCAAAATGAAATCCAAACTAAACTGTGACAATTTTCCTACATTCTTGGCTAGAGAAGTACAATTATTGTTGACACCCATGACGATGTTGTTGTGTGGTGCTTGGGCCGTAATTTTAAGTGTTCCTCCAGCGATAAACATTTTTGACAGGTCCTTCATCCCAAAGGGCAAGGAAGTTCTATATCGAATTCAGGATCACAGGGCCAGAGGTGAAGATCTTTATTGTATGTCAGGCTAAATAAATTTCCTCGAATTTCTTGCCTATTTAATCTTACATAGATGAGGGCCTTGGCAGCAGGGGTTGGTAGATAGAGCGA